TGACGTTTTAGGCGCCCTTTAGCGTCACTTACATGACGCAATCCTACGGCGTCATCTAACTGACGCTAAAGGAAAGCGTCAGTTAGAGGACGCGGTTAGGTTTAGGTGTGGGGTGGGGGTAGGGTTACACGCGATCCTAGGGCATCATCTAACTGACGCTAAAGGGCGCCTAAAGCGTCAGATATTGAAGCATGGTCAGTTAGGTGACGCCTTGGGGGTGAGAACGGGTGGTCCTACCTGATTTTTTCCTGGCCCTATATCTTCCGCTGATTTCGTCCAGTTCCCTGGATCCATGATTGCCACTTGTGTTGTTCAGCTCCTCGGCTCCTTTCCCGTCCACCACCTGGACTTCACTTCAGGCCCAAGTCTCCACCTTGGCCTGTCAGCCCTTCGCCTCTGCGCTCCCTCAAATCCACCGTGGTCCACTTGCCCCAGGACTTGCTCTCCGGATCAGCCTCAGTCAGACATTGCTCAGTTTCTGCCACAGACTGCTCCTCGACCCTCCACCCCTACAGCTCCACCGGCTTCTCCATTATACTTACTTCCTCCGTCAGCGCCCCGGTCTGCCAAGCCCGCTCTCCAACTCAGTCTTGTGATCCAGCAGCTCCACCTTGGACTTCCAGGCTGCCGGCCTATCTGCCTCTCTGATACTCCATGCACCCACCCTCAGTCAAAGCACCACCCTGGTTCCTCCGACCGTCCGCTCCACCATGGTGTCTGTCTCCAACTCCTCCTGGTCCCTGTGCTTCACCAGCTCCATGCCCACCTCCAAAGCCCAAAGTTCTGTTTCTGTTAGTTCCTGTTTTGCCTACTCCGCCTAGTCCGGGTTTCATTGGTTAATGATTGTCTCCAAGTCCGTGTCTGATTACTAATGTAAGGGGTCATGAACTGGCTTTTTAAATTTTATTATATTGTTGTCTGAGGTCAACTTATGACGTTCGCTTGGTTTTTGCATTCAAAAACATCAAAATACAGTAAATAAGTAATGGGCTATTTTCTACCCTAGTTTTGCGCCTAGCTGAAAAAATTTTTTATGGGTGTCTCGCACTGAAGACATGGAAGTAAACGCCCACTGCTGTGAGTGGATAACAGTTTTGCATATTATAATGAGTTTCAACTCACCCGTCGGTGCGTGTGGGGGGAAATTGTTTTGAAAACGTTCAATGTTGTAAAATGGCAACCGGAATGATTTGCCTATACATGTTCGACCCAGAGTCCGTGTGTTGCACCATTCCTGTCAGAGACGGCACAGCACCGTTCTTTAATCTTAATCGGTCTACAAATCCAGTCTCGTTTACAAAACAATCCTCAGTGAAATGAAGCGAACAAACGGACAATGTTTTACCCTCATCAGTTGGAACGTCATTAAAAATAAAGTTTATCCATGCAGTCCTATTGGAATCCAGAGGAAGCTTATGCAGGGACTGTCTTCTTCCATAACCAGGCACTGCACAATATTTTGTATTGCTCGGAAGCTCGATCTAGTTTGTCATCACGAGGTAGGCCTTATTTGTTATTTAGCTATGCGTGTAATGCGCGAATTGGTGGGCGGCGCTAAACTGGCCGTGCTGAAGTAGGCGTTGATCTTCTTCTGCGGGGGTGGTGTTTTATCCTCTTTGACGTCATAGTTCCCCACTTTGAAAAATGAGTCGTTTGCTGAGCCTGGTGTCAATAAAAGCTTTTATTGGACTAACAAGGACGTTTTCAGTTCTGAAACTTACAGGATATTCTTATAAAATGATCTAGAGGATGTCAAAAGCTCAAGGAAAATTTGATTTCTCAGTTCATCGCCCCTTTAAAGTCCGAGCTTTAATATAGCCACAGACTGTTATTGTCACGGCTTGTCAGATGAAACAGACGGATGACAGTATATTTCCAACGGAGATAAGTTTTAATGTAACAATAACTGTGACAGTTGCAACACACTCTTGGTAAACTTGAAATAGTTTATGCCTTTTTCAGAAATTTTGAAATCCTTTTTGAACGTTTTCATGGAGGTTTCAGAGACGACCACAAATCACATTTCACTGTCCGTTTCTCCAAATATCAGGAGATTGAGGTGGCTTTCCCCATGGATCCACCTCACAGATCACAAATCAGTCAACATGTTTCACTCTTATGGTTCAGGCAGCCCTGTAATGTACGAGAGGTCATGAACGTGCCTTCAGTAAACCACTAATCCAGTACTGTCAGGGAATCAGTCAGGATATTACAGACACAAGCGGATTCAGAAGATTGTCCGGCACAGCTCAGAATCACCATGGCAGGGATAATGACACAGGATTTCCCAGGGTCAGTCTGAACAGCTATTTCATCTTCCAGTCCGTAAAGGTCATGTTTTTTATTGAGCTCCCACACCATCTTCCCCGTTTGGAGGAAATTTTCCCCGTGTATCTAATCTATGAGTCAACTGACATAATGGCCCACTTCATAAAGGTCCAATTTAGTGTTTGACAACATATTACATCTTACCCTATCTCTCTCTCTCTCTCTCTCTCTCTCTCACACACACAAGGTATTTTATGATCTTTTAAGATCGTCTAGGATGAATTTGGTCAGATTATAGAGACTAACCCAGTCATTTATTGCATTTGAGCTTGTCTGTTTTCATAAATGCCTGATGGTGGTGACTGCTACTTTTGTGAAATGTGGAACGTTTTTCCTCAGTGATTTATTTCTAATTTCATCATCAAAAACCACTCAGATTTGTTTAATTGACACTTCTGCAATAGAATCTGACATCATTTCCAGGCTACTGCAATTTCTTTCCAAGAACTGGTTATTGGGGTGAACATGTGTTGTATTCATCATAGCTTAGGGTTAGTTCACCCAAAAATGTAAAATTCTATCATTACTTGCCCTCATGTCGTTCCAAACCGGTAAGACTTTCGCTCATCTTTGGAACACAAATGAAGATCTTTTGGATGAAATCTATAGAGCTTTCTATTCCTCCATTGACAGCTAAACAACTACAATTTTAATGCTTCAAAAAGTTCAAAGATCATAAACCTAATTCCAAATTTTAGATCGCTTTATATGATGAACAGATTTAATTTAGGCTTTATACCTGTAAACATTGATAAGCAAACATAAACAGAAGCTCAACCGAATCTGCTTGACAAGTGAGAACAAACCTCAAAGCTCAAACGTGCTGCGCAACACGAGAATGAACCTCATTGGTTCTTGCAGAAGCTCAAACATGATGCGTAACACGAGAATGAATCTCATTGGTTCTTGCTGAAGCTCAAACGTGATGCGTAACACGAGAATGAACCTCATTGGTTCTTGCTGAAGCTCAAACGTGATGCGTAACACGAGAATGAACCTCATTGGTTCTTGCTAAAGATCAAACGTGATGCGTAACACGTGAATGAACCTCATTGGTTCTTGCTAAAGATCAAACGTGATGCGTAACACGAGAATGAACCTCATTGGTTCTTGCTAAAGATCAAACGTGATGCGTAACACGAGAATGAACCTCATTGGTTCTTCCAGAAGCTCAAACGTGATGCGTAACACGAGAATGAACCTCATTGGTTCTTGCTAAAGATCAAACGTGATGCGTAACACGAGAATGAACCTCATTGGTTCTTGCAGAAGCTCAAACGTGATGCGTAACACGAGAATGAACCTCATTGGTTCTTGCTGAAGCTCAGACGTGATGCGTAACACGAGAACGAACCTCATTGGTTCTTGCTAAAGATCAAACGTGATGCGTAACACGAGAATGAACCTCATTGGTTCTTGCTGAAGCTCAGACGTGATGCGTAACACGAGAACGAACCTCATTGGTTCTTGCTAAAGATCAAACGTGATGCGTAACACGAGAATGAACCTCATTGGTTCTTGCTAAAGATCAAACGTGATGCGTAACACGAGAATGAACCTCATTGGTTCTTGCTGAAGCTCAAACGTGATGCGTAACACGAGAATGAACCTCATTGGTTCATTGGTTGAAGATAGTTAACTTCACATCAGCAACATAAATGCATCAACTAACCATTTAGAGATGTCCTGTTGCATTCAACATATTGTCACTACTTCTTGAGTCTCTCCACCTTTGACTGACTCCGTTTTAACATTGAAGGGCGAAAAGTTTCTGTCATTTTAGTATGTCTGCATGAGGTAATCGCGCTGCTAACATACGCAGGCTCTCGAAACCCCGCCCTCTGCAGCAGCTCATTTGCATTTAAAGGGCAAGGCACAAAATGGTGCGTTTTGCAAACCCTCAAAAAGTGACAACTTTAAGGCCGTGTGTCCACCAAAGCGTTTTTAACCAGCTGAAAACGCTAGACGCTCTGCTGAAGATGCCGTGCACCGGGCGCTTGAGAGCGTTTTGGCAGCACAGCGTTTTTTCCGTTGAGACGTTTCGTTGCTATGATACAGAATATCCGCAGCAGTTTGAATATTGACAGTTGGTCGCTGTGGTATTAGTCCCGCCCCTCCTCCACTGTGATTGGACGGCTGGGTAAAAAGTGACAGTGATGAGCGCTGCGTTTTATCCAAAGTTGAACATTTTTCAACTCCCAGCGACCAGTAAAAACGCCGGGCGCTCGGCGCTTCAGCATGAAAAAAAAAACCGCTGAGCGCCTCGGTACGCTCATGGCGTTTAAAAAACGCGGCGCTTCCATTGAAAACAATTGAAAACATACGCCAGGCGCATGGAAAAACGCTTTGGTGGACACACGTCCTAACATGCTATATAAAAATCTCTGGGGGGTATTTTGTGCTTAACCTTCACACATCAGAACTTATTTTACATCTTGTGAAAATGGCATTCTACCAACCCTTTTAAGTACAGGAACTTAAAAAACAAGGAATATTTTAAGAACAACCTGTGGCAGCTATATTGTCAAGATAACGTTCAGACCAAATGATAAATGATGTGTTGACGACAGTAATCAAGGATCCAGTGCTCGCTCTGTCTTGCGGTGCTGTTGAAAGTAGTAGACAAATCGGATTCCGCTGCGATGAGAAAAACAACGCGGTACGTTATCCAATGGCTTTAGCGAGCGGAAGCACGTGGGTAAACAGGAAGTAGTTTTGGCATTTGGCGGGTTGAACGGAGAAGACGCGCAAAAATGGCGGGTGAGTGTGAAAACCCTTTTATAGCGCCAGTGTTTTATTATTACTGATGCTGTCATGAAGCATGTAAGTGTGTGTGATGCTGGAGCTCAAGCGGTGCTGTGTGCTGAGATGTGCGCGAGCCGATACAATACAGAAACAGAGTTTTAGCTTCGGCTAAATGCTAATCATCACAGAGAAGAACAGCACATGTTTGTTTTCATGATTATCTGTTCGTTTTTAAATGTCAGATATACTTACAAACACACGAACTCACAATGTCACACAGATTAAGCAGTGCACATTAGGATGAAGACAGCTGCAAATGCACACACTGTGAGCTGTCAGTGTATTAGATGTGTTTGAGTGTATTTCTGACTGAGAGCAAGAAAGGTACACGTGTAGCAGCTAGATAGATATACAGATACATATTTACTGTGACGTATAGTTTGTTATATACATCCAAACTCTTGAGTCCAAAAGTATAAGACCATATTTTTTCTATGTACATTTCTGTAAAGCTGCTTTGAAACAATATGTGTTGTGAAAAGCGCCATACAAATACATTTTAATTGAATTAATGCAAATGCTTTTTCTCTAAAGTAGCTTTTTACATTACATAGCTTTTTACTCTGGCATGATTTGAGTTTTTCCAAAGAGGAATATTAAGAAAGTCTATTTGTCTAACTTACACACGGAAGCTCATGTAACGTTAGCCAAATGTGTTATATTATATTTGATTAGTGAACTTGTACATAATTCATTAATCTGTGTGGATATTTTCTTTATTGCATTGAACTGATTATTGTATTGTATGATGTTGAGTTGTGTAGCTGATGACAGAAATGACACTTCAAGCCATTATATTATGATTAAAATGTTTCTCTTTCTTTCCCTACAGCTGTGAACGACATGGAGAAGAAACTTGCGGAGTATAAATGCGACACTAACGAAGCTATATGCCTGAAATTAGGTAAATCAATAAAAATCATCACAAGAAGTCGACATGAAATTGACCATATTTACTTCGTTTTCAGACGCTGTTATTCAAAATTTAGCGTGTTTATCTGAAAAAATTTTTATCTGAAGCAACTTTCCTTTTCTGCTTCGTATTTGTTTGGATGATGATAATGTTTAACAGCAATTAAAAATAAACTTTTATTTAATTTGACTCCATTATGATATGTAATGCTCACCTTCCATTCAATTCCCAATGGGTAAAGTCAGTTTTGTGTGTGATGTAGTGCGGTTCCCAGAGGATGTGGAGGATGAAAGCACAACGTTTCACCCTGAGTTCAGTCATCAGCTGTATGGAGACGAGTATGTAAACCTTCTATTTCATATCATACACTGTTATGCATTTATTACTATTTTTAATGTATTCATTGACTAATATGTAATCAGTGTGTGTTCCTTGCGTCATTATTCTTCCCTGTTTCTCAAGTGTTTGTGCTTTGCTTTTTCACAGTGAAGTGGCGTTTGGCTACAAAGGTCTTCAGATCCAGCTGTACTACAGTGCAGGGAACCTGAACACCCTGTTCAAAGTCAAGTACACTTCCAGGGTCACAGACAAGTTTGACTGTGTGGAGGTACAGCTTCTCATACTTTCTCTTTTCATGTTGTGTGTGTTCATCTCACTGACTGTGCTTACATATGACACTTTTCATATTCATACAATCTAATGAAAATATCCATTTACATATGCACCACATTCTGAACAAAGCATGCATGTGCCTTTCCAACATATTATCCAGGACTCATGCAATCTTAAATATTTGGTGTTTTGTCATGTTTTCAACATTGTAGTTGCAAAATAAATGCTACTATTTTAAATATGTTGAGACTATTAAGTTAATTAATATTAAGCCAATCAGTAATGTTGTGCATCGCATGCCATTGTTTTCCAGGAAAAGCATATTTAGGAATTCATCCACTTTATCTTTAACTTATATTATATATTGTATTTAGGGCTGTGCAAAGATTAATTGTGATTAATCGCATCCAAAATTACGGAAGCGTATTGCATTCACCTGAGGAAACAAAATCTACTCTGTTTTTCTGAATTAGCAAGTTAATTATATCAGATATACGAGATATACTGTATTTTTCTTGAAAAACATTTTTTTTCACTCTGTTTTTATGAATTAATGAGTTATTAATCATTTTTGAGATAATCAAGTCATTAATTCAGAAAAACAGAGCAAAAACTTTTTTCCATGAAAAATGATCTCGTAATTCTGAGATAATTAACACGCTAATTCAGTGCAATATGCTTCCGTACAAAATTAAAGTTTGTGTATACATTCATAATATATATGTGTGTGTGCTGTGTATAATTATTTTGTATATATATATATATATATACACATATGCATGCATGTAAGAATTGTTTGCATGTAAATACTGTATATATGTGTATATATATATAAATAAATAGATATACATATTTTATATATGAATAACACATTTTCTTAAATATACACATGCATGTGTGTGTATTTATATATATATATATATATATACAAAATAATTATACACAGCACACACAAATATATTATGTAAACACAAACTTTTATTTTGGATGCGATTAATCACAATTCATCTTTGCACAGCCCTAATTATATTATATTTAACTGTTTAAAATAGCAGTATAACGGACATAGCGCCAGCTCTTTTATTTCTGTATCTGTGTGTACATCAGGTTTATTATAGTTTATCTAAAAACATAAACATTTTTGTCACTTGCATTAGAATAAACTACAATTTATTTATTCATTTGGTTTCCAAGGCAACATTTCTCCATTTAATATAGTAGTTTAACTTCATGTACTACAATAACTAAAACTGAAATATAAATTAATAATAAAAATATTGATAAAAAAACCTAAACTACTAAAATGAAAAGGAGAAAATATATAAAAATATATAAAAGTAGAGTGGTTTAGATTAACTATAATAATCATCATTTAACCTGATGAAAAATATTTATTTTAATGTTATCCGTGTTATATTTAATCTGAACTTTTATAAATATCCATTTGACCGCTAACCTTTAAATACATCATTATGCACAAATATGAGGAGAGTCTCTGATGAAAGACCATTGACTGGCAGATGCTGTTTCTTTTCTCTCCAATACAGTAGGACATTCATTTATAAATGAAATGTGGAGGATGTGACAAGATGATTGACCGGCCAGTTTATACAGTGACTGGATGCACATTACTAGTGACAGAGCGTCTGTTAAGACGCAATTATAATGCATTTCAATTTAATCAAAGGAATAATGTAATATAATTTGCCAACAGTATATTTCTGTAATCTATTGCATTGCAGTTTTTGTGCATTTGCATTGTACTAAATGGGTTTGGGAAATTGTATTTCATAAGAAAACAGTCATGGCAGCAAGGTACCTGTGGTTATCATGATCTACAAATGTATTGCACTATGGAGTAGCAATAGTTAATTTTATAAGAGTCTTTAGTCAATCAGTTAGAATATTTACATTAGGCTATAAAATAAGGTTGTTTTTACAAATATTATTGTTTTTGTTCATGAAAATAAATTTCCATCCATCCGCATCCCAACTCAAGCTTCTGCTACTGTCAACTCAAGCTACTGGGAGTTTCAAGTGAGCATTTCCAAGAGACAAAAACATAATATTATTAATAATCACTAATTATTTTTGGTGCTACCAAATCAGGTGCTCACAAATATTAGTCTGGAGCGCTGGTCAAACACAAAGGATACATTTGGACCAGAGCAAGTCAGGACATTTTTCAACAGCTCATTCACTTTATTGCGGGTCTTCTAACTTATGATAGCTTTTGTGAGGAACAGAACAAAATTTAAGCTGTGGCGCGTTGTTGCTTATTGCAAACATCATTGGTTCTTCTCACATGTATTGTGACCAGAAGTCAGTTCTGCCTTATTTGATTTTAGCACTACTACAACATAATAGGAGATTTTCAATAAATAATGGTTTCAGTTTCAGTCTGTTCTTCACAAGTTTTCATCATCACTTGAGCTGTGGTTCTCAAACGGTTTGACTCCCAGGATCCCCAGTGTCCGCAACAATATCTGAAAGCTTTGACACTTCTACTTACTGTAAATTACATTTCAGGATTACAGATGTTGAATATTCAGGTTAGGTTGTTTTTAACCAATTAAGTGTTGTAGTCCTTTGTGATTTCATCAGAAAGGATTAAAGGGATACTCCACTTTTTTTTTTTTGAAATAGGCTAATTTTACCACTCCCCCAGAGTTAAACAGTTGAGTTTTACCATTTTCGATATTTTGAAAAAATATTTTTTTTGATATTTTGAAAAATATCAGTAACCAGACAGTTTCTGGTCTCATTGACTTCCATAGTATATTTTTTTCCTACTATGGAAGTCAATGAGACCAAAAACTGTCTGGTTACTGATATTCTTCTAAATATCAGAAAATCGGCTGAATGTATTTGAAAACGGTAAAACTCAACTGTTTAACTCTGGGGGAGTTGTAAAATGAGCCTATTTCCAAAAAAAGTGGAGTATCCCTTTAAGAAAGTTATTTTTTTCAGTCTAGAAACAACACTTTTAAAAGGCTAGCAGCTCATAAGGGAGTTAATTAAAAGAAGAAACAAGTTGATTTTAATTAGCTTTATTAACTTGTTTTGTTTTTAAGCCTTTTGAGTCTCCTTGAGGCCCTCTGATTGAGAGCCCAAGCTTTTGAGGGCACAGAGTATAGCACAGACAGTCTCATTGTGTTATCAAGAAGAGGAGAGTCAGTTTTTGGAATGACATTAGGGCGAGTAAATGAAGGCAGAAATTGTATTTTTGCGATATTCTGTTTTCTACACTCTTTACAGGCCACCACCCCAGACTTTAATTTAAGCTTTAATAAAACACTTTACACAGAGGAAATGTGTTTAACAGACACACTGACCAATTTTGCAACTCTGTCTTTCTACAGCGATTGAACGAGCTTGCTTTGAAAGGTTCGATAAGATCAGACCTAATTATTTACTGTGTCGGCACCATGTGACTGCCGTTTCTGAATATCTTTCACCTTTACGCTTAGTCGCTAAACATACTTAAGATGTTTATTGTGTTTATTTGATTGTGCCTCCACCGTTGCTCATATTGGGTTCTTTTTTCATCTTTTTTCCCCATAGATGATGTCTTTGATTAGAAGGGTTGTAATTGGATTCAATGCCTTTGTTGAACCCCGTCGTATAAAGAAGACGTATTCTCAAAACGAACCTCAAGTCTCTGAAGAGTCTTGCATCCTTAAGCGCCATTAGTTAATACAGGAACGCCACAATGCCTCGCTTTTATTTGCGCGATCAAGCAATTTGCCCGAGAAACTATTTTTACAGTTTTCTGTCTGCTCTGTTTTTGTCGTCCTCTCGTCGCTCCCATAATGCAGCAGGACAATAGTGAGTGTTACTGAGCTGCAGGTGCACCGATCCCCTTCTGATATTAGCTGATGTCTGAATGAGCAGGAATTAGCGGCGTGTTGCATTAGCCTTTTGTCGTGTGTTTTGTGGCCGTTGTGAATGAAGAGTCCCGCGACACAAGTGCAGCCCATCATGCGGCCAAAGGGCCCTGCTTAGCAACTTAATACAAAGTGTTCTCATGTCAGGCCCGCTGGAAATGGATACAATGCAAACATGGGTGCACATTCTGCTGGGTAAAAAAATCTCGGAGCGGGTGGAGGAGGGGGGTGCCGCTATTGTCCGGTTCGTAGCCCGTGAATGGAGAGGGCAAACTCGTTTGATTGAGTTCGCTCACCAGCCTCAGAACACAGGAACCTATTATACATATCCAGGCTTTTTTTCCTTTTTTGTTAAGTCGAGATCAATTCATTAAATTTTATTGCCCGGTGAGAAGCTGGGACACATTACGGTGGGGGGAACTTCATCTGATATTCATGGTTTAAGATAAGTAGTAAATGTATTCAATTAAGTGGTCTTTCAGGGGAGGCACAGAAAGACGAGGAGGGGGGAGGGGACACTCCTCAGCTGACATTGCTAATTGCCTAATGGGTCTCCTTTTTTGTGCCACAAAAATATGTATTTTTTTCCCTTTAATTCCTTTTTGTGGCATGCCAATCACCGCTGAAGTATAGCTTAATGACAGAACAATAGGGAATTACTCTGTTAGGGCTCTTTTGTGATTATATGTAAGGCCGAGCACCGGGGGAATAGACGCATAACTCATAAATGTGCCACTTCAGTTTATATGATTAAATTCAGCTGCTCGCACTGTACACTAGACACAGCTGAGTTAACCGCTCTCGCTCTGTGGGAGTTTGAAACCTGCTTTAGATTACCGTAAGATGAACGTGCGTTACCTCTATAGAGACGCACACTTTCATAATCCTGTGCTGATCTTTGCCTTTAAAGGGATGTTCAGTGTAATGTTCTGTTGTCACTCACAGACCAAAAAACTCTGAATTAGAAAAGAGAGATGCTTAGCAGAAAGTTCATTATGTTCAGCTCTCTGTACAGTGAAAACCGAAAGTGGCCGAAAGTTCAGCTCCTAAAAGGGCAAAAAAGCACAATTTAAGTAGCCTGACTTCGTCAAACTCATATTCTGACCAGTCTGAGACCGCTCCGTAGGGCTTTGATTATGAGGCGCGTCTTAACCGAACCAGGACAAAAAAAACCTCTGCACTCAATTGGATAGTCGGACAGATCTACAACCAATCAGAGCAACGCAGTAAGTCAAATACTTTGCATAGCGCAGTTGTCAACTACAGAACTTACTTATTTTAGAAGTTAAATAACGAGTGTTGCTTCTTTCACTTGGTCCTTCATGAGTGCGACCGAAGGAGAAACCACAACGACCACATGCTTTTCATTACGTCCCATCTTTAACTTAGCGACCGTCAGAGCCAGCTGATAATGCCTAGTTCACACTACATGATTTTAAAATGTCGGGCTGAACTGTGCAGTTCACACTACATGACTTGCTCTCAGTGAAATCATGAGTGTTCAAGTTGTTTAGCTGTTCACACCACACAACACAACGTGATTGATCCACAACAGGAGGTAACTCACTACACGAGTTAACAACGCACTACATAGAGATACAACCACGATCGGATGATAAGAGCATATCATTTGTGACTCAATGAGAGCTGTTTCAGTACTATAGTACGGTCTAAATCCTGAAAATAATCAAACAAATAACGAGTTGACAACAACACGATTCTATCTGGTCTAGAAACCATGTTTTGTCACGAAAAACCACGCAATAAAACGAACCAGAAATGACGCGAAACTGCAGAGAAGAACACAACACGCGAATATGGACGTCAGACAGAAACTAGTGCTGCACACTGTTTGCTCGACGATCTGCTCTGAGAAAAAAAAATGCAAAAAAGAAAAAGTAAGATTTACCTGGTGTCCTCAACCCATGCGTTGCTATGATTGGCTGTACTCATGACATCACTGAGATTGAGTCGCGCGACTGCTCGAGATATCTAGCATGCTAGATATTTTTCTGAGCTCGGTGACCTGTCTGCGAGGTGTCTGCGAGCTGTCTTTGATGCGTTGTTGGCTCTTTCACACTAACTGATTGGCGAGCGTTAATCGTCCGCTAATCGCCCGCGATTTGCACGCGATAACACCCTGACTTGTCGGCGACTCAACGATTTGCAAATCGGGCTTAAATCGGGCTTAAAATCACGTAGTGTGAACTAGGCTTAAGTTACACTTTTGCCGAATATCTTTCCGATCGACAAATGCCTTGATTGCCGTTTTCTGTTTTTCTATTAAAATGAATGTGCTGTCGATTAATTTTAAAAGCAGACGTGATAGCGGAATCGATACATCTCAATTCTCCAGCTGCAGTCATCTCTGAGGGAAACCAGTTAAGCGCTCTTTGATAACGTGATGATTACGTCCCTGCAGATCATCTGTCCATCATCGGATAAAGCCCGTCCTGGCAATCTGATTGGCCCGATCATTTTTTGCCTGATCCATTACTCCTCAATGGATCGAGTTCAGACCGAACTTCCCGACCAAAAAATGTTGTGGGCGGAGTTCGGGCTGGCATCCAGGCTACAATTTAATGCCGCGTTCCAGGCAACCTGTAACTCGTGTTTTTCCATCCTTATACCCGTGAAAGTGCACTGGAACGGCAGTCAAACCCGTGACTTCCCACCCGTGAACTCGTACTAGACCGATGTACTCCCAGTTACGAGTTCTGACGTCACATAGCCCGCGAACAAAGACAGCCCCCTACGGATGCAGTGTTTCTGCAGGCGGTACTCGGTGAGATACACTTTAGGACAATATAACGTTAACTAGTTTTCAGTCCATTGAGTGCAAGGATAAATTAATACCAAATACATTTCAAAATATACAAATAAAGTCAAATAAAAGGTATAATCTTGCCTCGTGCGCTCTTTCTGCCTCCACCTTAGCTCCGTCCACAAAAAAAACGTTCGGCTTGCCGAGCGGAAAAAAAACACGTGTTGAAGTGCTGCGAGTCAATGGTCAGCCTCCTCTAACTTAGCTACAGGCATTCAAAAGATAGCATGGCAACTGCAGATGCAGGAGACCCATCAACAGAACTTGAACCTCTCTCATTGAAGTTGCAGGTGTTGCAAGATTTTTGGATTTCCAGTGAGTTCTGTTGACAACGTTCGCGCTTAAAAAACCACAGTTTGCAGACATCCCAAGTCTCGCGGAAGTTCCTGGAGTTCCCGGAACCTAGAGTGAGCGAGCAAGAGCGAGCGTGCATGGCGAGACAGAAAAAACTGTGCTCCAAACCGTATTGCTCGCACGGCAGCGAGGGAGAGAGCGAGAGACGTTGTGTGTGTGCCTCTTGAAGCGCAGAGAGCATCCTGATTGGCCGATTGATAAAAACCGATAATCGTATTGAACCGTGACCTTAGAATCGAAAATGTAATCGAATCGAGGATTTGGAGAAACGTGACACCCCAAATGCATATACAAACATACATTCACTGCCCCGGCCAAAGTTGCTGTATGGATTTAAAAGGGCAAAAGCCTGAGAGTCTATGACTGGATCATTATTGCAGTGATTATTATGTTTCTAGCATGGTATATGATTGGCAACAGTTCTTCTAGCACTAATTGTTGGAGTGTGTAGCTTTTCGCTTCTTAAACAATCATGTAGGAAGAACATCATGAACATACGTATACCAGCATGACCATGTCAGGATTCATCAGGCTCAAAGAGTGTAAGAATCATCAGAGTCCAGACCTTAGATTCATTGAGAGTCCTTGGGATGTGCTGGAGGAGACTTTACAGAGTGCTGGACTCTTGCATTGTTAATACAAGATGATAATAACATCACAACATTTATTTCCATCAAGAGGTGCATCATTTTTTGGTAAAGATCTTGTTTCTATTGAAACAAGATTGCTTTGTTTCTATTGTTTGAACTGTAGTATACACTGGTCTCTCTTACATAAATGTTGTTCTCTCACTGCAAATGTTGGTAGTTTTTCATTTGTTGAAATGTTGGTAGTTAGTCATTTAAAGCCCTCTCTCTCTCTCTCTCTCTCTCTCTCTCTCTCTCTCTCTCTCTCTCTCTCTCTCTCTCTGTTTGTCCTCAGCCAGATGATGTGGAGGAAAAGGTCAGAGAGATCATTCCTGCTGGTTTCTGCTGTAACACAGATGACTTCATCTCTCTCTTGGAGAAAGAGGCCAACTTCAGACCCTTCGGCAGCCTGCAACACACCTACAAAGTTCACAATGTGGAGGCTGGAGAGGATCTCACCTATCATATACACAAGGTACAGAGTTTCCCACTGCTTTGACTGCTGGCGACGTCATTCAGCGTTCAAACTGGAATATGAAAATCTTGGCCAAAATTTTGGCCAATCGGAATCTTAGCACTTTTTCTCTTGGCCTATCAGAATCTTAGCACTTTTTCTCTTGGCCTATCAGAATCTTGGCACTTTTTCTTTTGGCCTATCGAAATCTTTGCACTTTTTCTATTGGCCAATCGGAATCTTAGCACTTTTTTTCTGGGCCAATCAGAATTGTAGCACTTTTTCTCTGGGCCAATCGGTATCTTAGCAGTTTTTCTCTGGGCCAATCGGAATCTTAGCAAATTTTCTCTTGGCCTATCGAAATCTTAGCACTTTTTCTCTGGGCCAATCGTAATATTAGCAGTTTTTCTCTTGGCCTATCAGAATCTTAGCACTTTTTCTCTTGGCCTATCAGAATCTTAGCACTTTTTCTCTTGGCCTATCAGAATCTTGGCACTTTTTCTTTTGGCCTATCGAAATCTTTGCACTTTTTCTATTGGCCAATCGGAATCTTAGCACTTTTTTTCTGGGCCAATCAGAATTGTAGCACTTTTTCTCTGGGCCAATCGGTATCTTAGCAGCTTTTCTCTGGACTAATCGGAATCTTAGCAAATTTTCTCTTGGCCTATCGAAATCTTAGCACTTTTTCTCTGGGCCTATCGGAACCTTAGCACTTTTTCTCTGGGCCAATCGTAATATTAGCAGTTTTTCTCTTGGCCTATCAGAATCTTAGCACTTTTTCTCTTGGCCTATCGCAGTCTTAGCACTTTTTCTCTGGGCCAATCAGAATCTTAACACTTTTTTTCTCAGGGCCAATTGGAATCTTAGCATTTTTTCTCTGGGCCAATCGGAATCTTAGCACTTTTTCTCTTGGCCTATCGCAATCTTAGCATTTTTTTCTCTGGGCCAATCGGTATCTTAGCACTTTTTCTCTGGGCCAATCGGAATCTTAGCAAATTTGTTTTCCCTACCCACTGTTCTATAGTATAGGGTCTTACAAATATATCAATAGCAGTCTTAGTTTTAACATTATGTAACCATTGTATATCGACATTAAATATTTGTTCAAAATCACCTACGTGCATTAATGTTGCTGAGAATGCTTTGACGCATTTCCACAGCGCATGATGAGGAAACATCTGCCAATTCCACCAACCGCGTTAAACGTAGCCTATAATTTGTAGCCTACTTTTCAAATTCCAAAGCTTGTAGAAGGTGGAAATACTGACTTGGTAGCCTTGATTAAATTAACTTGTTTAAGAAAATGATTCATAAAACATATAAATATCAGTTAAACCTGCTTACTTTCTTCACTGACACAGACAAAAATGAAAAGACGATCAGTCAAAGTTCAGCTTGAGGAGGGGAAGAAATATGGCAGGATAAGGAGACTGAGAGAAAGATGTAGAGGAGAGAGCAGGTATTGACTAAATAATTTAATGCCCACTGACATGGTTTTAAAGCTATTTATTATCCTTTTTTTGGCCAAAAATTCTTAAATTGCACATAAAAGGTCAGAGAAATCCACATTTTCTAGGGGGAGCATGCCCCCCACCCCCCTTAACTACATCACATTTGAATGCAGATGTCTGTGGGTGGGGTTGTGGATGGTAATGTGGGCTGGCGTGGCTACAGTGCCAGGGCTAAATTTTTGTCCCAGTGTTAAGCAATATGAACACAGTATCGTCATCATATCAGTGTAGATGGGCCAAAATAAAACCATTAAAATATCAAGTAAATAAGTGATATTTGGTGTCACAGTGACACTCTTGTCCCAAAAACAAGGACTACGGAGTTTTTACTAAACAGTCATTTCTAACAACATAGGGCTATTTAGATAAACAATCTGGCGAGCATAATGCACTGAAATTAAAATTCTCGACTGAAACCAAAAATTCAGGGTGCACATGGCTTAAAAGTGAAAAAAAAAAAAAATTAAACTTATTTTAAAGTATATATTTTTTATATTATTGAATAAATATTAGGGCTGTGCAAAGATTAATTGCGATTAATCGCGTCCAAAATAGAAGTTTGGGTTTACATAATATATTTGTGTGTGTGTATAATTATTTTGTATATATAAATACACACACATGCATGTATATATTTAAGAAAATGCATTATTCATATATAAAATATTTATATAGAATATAGATTATTTATATAACTATATATACAGTATTTACATGCAAATAATTCTTAAATACATTCATGCATATGTATTTATATGTAAATATACACCGCACACACACATATATTATGTAAACACAACTTTTATTTTAGATGCGATTAATCACAATTAATCTTTGCACAGCCCTAATAAATATTAGACTTTTTTACTTTTCGGAAACGAAAGTTTATTTAATATTCAATTACTTAATCAAATTTATTTAGTAATCAACACTCAAAAAACGTTGTGCAAACATTTTAATTATAAATAAGGCTTTTTTATATTAACTTTTAATAATAGAATTATGTTTCTACTCCAATTTGTTGGTGAAATATAGACATTTAAACGATGGCTGGAATATTTTTTACACAATACACTATTATAGTATATTACATATATTGGAACGGGTTTAAACCACCCCTTACAATCCGAAGGAAGTTTTATTCGGATTTGGCCAATTCATTCCGATAAACATGGGTACATATTACTTTTTTATTTCGACTGCTGCTAGTTCGATTACAGTCTGATTATTAGTGTCCATGTTAATGCAACTACTGTTTCGGTCAATGCTTTCGGCACATTTTGGTGCACCCATGTTTCCTTTGGTTTGCTGCTAATACTTTAAATAATTTTTAAATCATCTTGCTGGATATAAACACTTTTTGATGTGCCATATTATGCAAAAGTTTTTTCAAAAGTGCAAAAATGTTGACTTTCCCATTGCCCATTTTAAAGAATGACAAACTTTTAATTAAGTTCTCGCACAATTCATTGTGAACACTTTACAATAAGGTTTCATTAGTTAACTACTTTAGAACTAAGAACTAACAATACTTCTACAATTTCAAGGTTTACATTCTTAACATAAAAAAAAAAAAAAACTTCTTAAAACCCATATTTTCTCTTTAGCTTTTGACACCTAGCAAGATGTCGACTCCAGGAATTTTTTGTTATTAATGATGAATGTAGGGTTATTAATTGTAGGTATGTTTATGTTTTCTATACAGCACTTTGGTCAACTTAGGTTGTTGTAAAGTGCTAAACAAATAAAGTTGGTATGGTATGGTATGGTAACATCAGTTGTTGTATTTGTTAACATTAGTCAATGCACTGTGAATTAACATCAATGAACAGCTGAATTTGTATTAGCTGAAGTAATGGTAATAAATAAGACCTAAGTGTAAAGTTTTCCCATTTCCTCTGCTCTTCGTGACACTAGGTGGATATCTCATGTCCAGGCTTCAGAGAGTACCACGAGCGCCTGCAGACGTTTCTCATGTGGTTCATCGAGACAGCCAGTTTCATCGATGTGGACGATGACCGCTGGGATTTCTTCCTAGTGTGAGTGTCTAAGATTCAAATGATCTTCAGTCTAACAGGCAAGAATGTGTTTGCATCCGCTCACTGGAATGATGTTAACTCACAATCAGCTGTGAAGTTCCTACATCTGTAGAACAGGATGATTTAGACTATATGGGTCATATAACATTTATATTTAAAAAAAATTATATATATATATAGTGTAACCGGTAGTAAAACAAACTTTACATTTCTGTTTTGAATGTCTTGCCCCATAGACTTCCATGTATAACCATTACGGTAAGTGCGGTTTTTGTTTTTACAATCAACAAAACTCTAAATTATGTAACAAATACTGGCATTAGGACTTAAAGGTATAGTTCACCAAAAAATGTAAAGTCTGTCATCATTTACTCTACCCATTTACTATGTCGACTTACATAAAAGAAGATAATTTGAGAAATCAATGTCTCAATGTTTTTTTTTTCTTTGATGCTGCCCGCGTCGCCTCGTCCTCCTACTATTGTTAAAATAATGTAAATAACCTACAAAATAATGTAAATAACCACTGTACATATATTTATATTCTTGGTGGGTGTTTTTGCTTCATTCATAACCTTTTTGTGCTGAATAAATGTATCCGCTTCAGTGTTTTCCCTACCATTGTTTTAGGTCCAAAACGACCCCCTCCCCCCCAAAATGCTGACGAAATCCAGTCATAACAAAGGAATTTACTTTAAATTTTTGAGGAATAAATAGAAAGCGGTTCAGTACACTTTAAATCAAATCGCAATGTAGACTAGTGTGTGTGAATATTAAAGGGTTAGTTCACCCAAAAATTAAAATTCTGCCATCCTCATGTGTTTATTTGTTTTGCTGAGCACAAAGGAAGATATTTGGAAGAATGTTTTAATCAAACAGATCTCAATCCCCATTGACTACCATAGTATGTATATTAATAATAACCTTTATTAATAATACATGATTTCTATTAATTAGACATGCTTTTTGATTGCTAAAAAATGACATGTCCACTCGTACGGTACTCCTATGGACTTGTACAACAAACTAGGGCTGGGCGATATATCGAATATGTACGATGTATCGTTATATTTTTTGAAACGATTATGAATGAGGCAATACCGTTTATATCGATACAGTAGTTTGATATGAGCACATCTGAAAAATAGCGGAGGTTGCAGTGTGAGCTGCTGCAGTGAAAGTAGCTAGGCTACGTAGTACAATTTGTCCTAAACATGACACAAGCTTGTATTAATTGCGTCAAAATCACTTTGATATAGTTAACAAGTTTAAGGCAGCTTGCCGCCCTGTCAAATGCTCTGACAGACACTGTTGCTGACTGACAGATATACTTGCGCTGTTTAATGCGTTTGAGATGTGGTGCTTTCCTCAGTGCTCAACTTACATTTCACAGGTATATTCTCCATCTGTAAATTTTAGAAAGTAAAGCAAATATGTCCATTTCACAACAAATATGTCCATGTCAGAAGAGGACGAGCTTTTGCAAGTGAATCTCCGCTAAAATTCATGCTTCCTTGAACGAGCGCCGGCGCGCGCATGCGCGTGAATAGTACTACGTAGTACGCAATAATTCTGACTAAAATAAACATATTGCTAAAATATTTGTTGTTGGAGAAAATAAATGTGCCATATGTGGAATTTTAAACCTACAAGTATATATTTTTAATGAAAGTGAAAGTGATTATAATGGGGTAATCAAATGCAGGCTAATATAATTAGTTTGTGCTTTTGTTTTTGTTTTTATTTTCATTTTTACTTTAGCTTTTAGTCAATATAAAAACAAAAGCTTTTTGCACATAATATATTGCATAGCCTATATTATATTTGTTTCCATATCCTTCAATATCAACATTGTTTGTAGGATATCATTGGGCCGAATGTGAATATACTGTGTATATATATATATATATATATATTTTTTTTTTTATATAAAGATTTTCTTTATCTAAATAGAAAACGTAGAAAGTACCGAGATATATATCGTATATCGCCATTTGACCAAAAAATATCGAGATATGATTTTTTGGCCAAATCGCCCAGCCCTACAACAAACCACTCATTTATTTCTTTTTAAATGTCCATTTTAAATGTTAGACCGCTGTCTCGGGGGTACGTAACAAGAAGTCAGAGATAACCCCAATTTGGAACGACATTGAGGGTGGGTAAAGGACAGATTTAAGTTTGTCTGCAAAAACTTAGTGTTGATAACTTTGGCAGGCAAAGAATCCAAATCAAGTGCTCTCACATAGTCGGCGAGTGCCGATACGAATGTAGTGTCAATTAATAGTGAACAGTAACTTTCGAAATCTTTCTCACACACGTCTAACGCGCCCCAGTTACGTCTCTCCTGCCTTTTGTGGGGCCCGTGGGGCCAATTATCAGACCGCTTTAATTATATTTTCTCCTGCATTGAAGCAAATTGTTGATCTGGCAAGAGTTTCCTTTGTGTTGTTTGTCTGGTTTCTTTGCTCTTGTGTTTCTTTCTTTCTTGAGTCAGACCAAGAGGCTGAATTGAATGTTGTTGTCTTTTGAAACGCTGAATGAAGTCTCCAGCGTTAGTGAAGGGGACTCTGCCTGTGTTTTCTTTGCTTTGGCACCTATTAAAACAGACAATGGGCAAATGGACTGGAGTGATGTGAAGAGGCTAGATGCCTGGCTCTCTGCTCAAAGTTGCAGTGCACCAATTAAGTGCATAATGCATTCAGTGTCTCCAGCAGGTGCAGCGACGGGCCACTGGCGGCGACAGCGACGACGGGACGGGACAGGGGGGTTCGGTGCATGGGAGCGTGCCTACGATTGACCTGCCTGCCTTTGTCATCTCTCTCTATCTCTCTGTCTTTCTTGCAGATTCGAGAAGTACAATAAGGATGGAGAGACCCTTTACGCGACTGTTGGCTACATGACAGTGTATAATTACTACGTATACCCAGACAAAACCAGACCACGTGTCAGGTAATTACTGAGGAAGCACGTGCCCGCTATCTGCTTTATTCTGTGAAAAAAAGGAAAGGAAAATTACACTTCTTTCTCTCTCCCTTGTCCCTAAAACTCCCAAATTACCATCTCGCGTCTCTTGTGTGCCAGCCCCTCACCGGGTATTATAAGGCCGACCAATTCAGCATCACCCACCCGAAAGCTCGTTTTGAAAACGAGTCTAATGTATTGATTGGCAAGACGTGCTAACGTTTCATTACGTCGGCCGCTGATGAATGAACAGAGATAACCTTTGGGAGACTGATGATATCATTGCTTACTGTATTTGAGAACATTTTCAGCTGCTAAATTGAGGCAGTCTTTATCAGTAATTCGCAAGCGCTGGGTCGCGACCCAGAATGAGTTCTGATAGGATCAACCATGATAAATTGCAGCTAACCCTATAGTCCTGCATAGTCGAAATAATAGGCTTTTGAAAGGCTGGAGAAAACGGTTTCCTGTTTCTTTTGATGTTGATTTCACAGGTTATGTATATACATGGTATATAATGGGATATTTAGCTCAGCGTTATCATATCACACTTCAGCTGTTGTCTTTCATTGCATATTGATTAGGGTTGTGTACCGAAACCCACCGGTATGTCACCTTAAGTTATATCACCTGAGCTACGGAGGTGGTGGCAAGGGACTATATTTGATTGAGTCATTAAACCGTAGGGCTGTCGAACGATTAATTGCGATTAATCGCATCCAAAATAAAAGTTTGTGTTAACATAATATATGTGGGTGCACTGTGTATTATTATATATTATAAATACACGCACATGCATCTATATTTAAGATAAAAATATTATTTATGTATGAAATATTTTTATATAATATAAATTAGATATAAATCTATATACAGTACATGAAAATATTTCTTAAATATATACATGCATGTGTGTGTATTTATATACACTACCGGTCAAAAGTTTTAGATCAGTAAGATTTTTTTATATTTTTAAATGAAGTCTCTTCTGCTCACCAAGGCTGCTTTATTTGAAGAAAAAAAATGACAAACAGTAATATTGTGAAATATTATGACAATTTAAAATAATTATTTTCTATTTTAATATATTTTAAAATGTAATTTGGAAACTTAATTTTCAACATCATTACTGTTGCTGATTACACATCAGTTTTCAGTGTCACATGATCCTTCAGAAATCATTCTAATATGCTGATTTTATGCTCAAAAAACATAAATTATGTCGTGTACCATTTCCCCCCTAAAATTCTATGATGAATAGAAAGTTCAAAAGAACAACATTTATTTAAAAAATAATCTTTTCTAACATTATAAATGTCTTTACTGTAACTTTTGATCAATTTAACTCATCCTTGATGAATAAAAGTATTTTCTAATTTCTTTCCCCCAAAAATATAAAAATAAATTCTTACTGACCCCAAACTTTTGAATGGTAGTGATTAATGTTACAAAAGCTTTCCATTTCAGATCAATTCTGTTCTTTTGAACTTTCTATTCATCAAAGAATCCTGAAATAAAAATTTAAAAAACTGTTTTCAATATGGATAATAATCAAATCATAAATGTTTCTTGAGCATTATATTATTATAATAATGAGTAATGATGCTGTAAATTCAGCTTTGATCACAGGAATAAATTACACTTCACTATATATTCACATAGAAAACCGCTGTTTTAAATTGGAATAATATTTCACAATATTACTGTTTTTTTTTTTGTATTTTTTATTAAATAATTGCAGCCTTGGTGAGCAGAAGAGACTTCTTTTAAAAACATAAAAAATCTTACCGATCTAAAACTTTTGACCGGTAGTGTATATAAATACACACACATGCATGTATATTTAAGAAAAAAATATGATTTATATATAAAATATTTATATTTATATATAATATAAATTATATAAGTATATACAGTATACAGTACATGAAAATATTTCTTAAATATATATATATATATGCATGTGTGTGTGTATGTGTATATATATATATATATATATATATATATATATATAATAATTATACACAGTGCACCCACATATATTATGTAAACACAAACTTTTATTTTGGATGCGATTAATCGCGATTAATCGTTTGACACCCCTCATTCAACTAACACATTCAAGGTGAACAAGGCGTTCAATTATTTGACCTTTTAGCGCCACTTTACAAGGCTCGGCTGGCCAGCAACGCGTCTCATGGTTAATGCTGAAGCTGATGCTTCACTTCTTAGAGATCATTGCTTTAGCATTGATTTAATGCATCGAGAAGCGTTGGGGGAAGTGGGAAATACCCTTAAACGTTAAAAGGATGTTACAACAAAGATTTCGCTTTCCTTGGACATACTTATTTTTGTTGATGAATATATAACGCAGAGTAGCGACGCTACTAACTTAGCTACATTTTTCAGTAGCTTGGCAGTAGCTCAGTTGCTTTTTAAACAGTGTAGCTCTTCCAGTAGCTACCTACTTTGTGCAGCAAGTAGCGGTGTAGCGCAAGCAAAAGCTACATTGCGTTTGTCGAGCCTGTGCGAATCAGCGCGATGCAAGAATATTCTTCTTCTTGTTACATTACAAACTCATTTTTTGCCATTACCGCCACCTGTTGTTTAATCACGCATCTTGCGGCTAACGGTTCACTGACATAAAAATGCACAAAACCTCTGCCCTATAATGTCAGTTTCAGCAGATTCTGTAAGTCAGTGGTGTAGTGTGTGTCTGAAGGGTGCTAGAGTTGTAACAGGGTCTGTGTTTGCAGAACAGTTGCTCAAAGGCTCAAGAGCTCTAACCTTAAATTGGTATTGTGCCTAATCATTGTGTGGTCTTCTGTGCTGCATCACTGAAGCTGTGTGTATTGTGTGTGTGTGTGTGTGTGTGTAGCCAGATGCTGATCTTACCACCGTTCCAGGGAGAAGGCCACGGGGCTCAGCTCTTAGAGACTGTCCACCGATACTACTGCACGCTTGCTAAAGTACAGGACATCACAGGTATGATGAGCACACACAAAGCCTAGATTAAACATGCGTGAGTTATTTTATTACTAATGAAATGATTTCTTCTCATACGTAAGGCCACATACACATGGTAAAGATTCAGGTTCGAATCTCATACATTATAATTTCGTGCATATTACAGTACACGACTCACTCCCGAAATTGTGGTGATTGTCACGTAATAAAAGGTGTCTTTTCCGTGTTAATCAGAGTTATTGTCCTAACCAGCCGTGATGACGATATACACAACGGGTCTAATTTAGAAACGGTTTCTATTTCTGCAACGTTGCGGCTGGAAGAACAACAAACAGAGTATGACAGTGATCATTTCTGGTTCTGTTTTGATGTTAAAAGCATCTAATGTGAGTTTTAATATAGTTTACATGATTACATCATTTTCAGATCTTGAAAATAACACTGAAAACAAGTGTATTCTATGACAGATTGATTCAGTCACCCAGTATGTATTTTGAATCGTGTTAAAATGGTGAAATATTTATTAATTAGATTGTGGGTATCCATTTCGTTCAGTTTGCAGAGAGACTCCGCCCACGCGCTCTTCTGATTGGCTGTGATTTTTGATTGATTTTGGACGGACATATTGCTTGTCGCTGGAATATTATCACATCGCGTCTGGTTAGGAGGACACAATTTCGTTTTTCTTATCCACTATTTTTTCATGAGTTAATTCGAAAAGCTGAATTGACAACCAAATTTAGCTGCAGTGTGTACTTAACCAAACATTTGAACAAAAGACTTGTGCTAATATTATCTTTTAAATACTAACTTGCCCCACATAAAGCTAACCTGGCTGGAAGACGATGCAATGTGACAGAAAATGCGAGTGGTGCAAACAGTATAGCATAACTGTATGGTATAGATTTATAATATCAGCCATCACATCAGTTTTTGGCCCTAACATAACTTAAGTATCCATTTTATATATATTAGTACTGGGCAACCATTAATCGTGATTAATCGCATCCAAAATAAAAGTTTGCGTTTACATAATACATGTGTGTGTACTGGCTATAATTATTTTGTATACATATACACACACACATGCTTGTATACATTTAAGAAATATGCATGTATATATTGTATGTATATTTAACCATAATTTATATTATATATTAATATTAATATTTTATTTATAAATGACACATTTTTCTAAAATATGTACATGCATGTGTGTGTATTTATATATACAAAATAATTATACGCAGTACACATACATGTATTATGTAAACACAAATTTTTATTTTGGATGCGATTAATCGTGATTAATGGTTGCCCAGCACTAACTAATATATATATATATATATATATATATATACACACATACACACATTACATTATTACACGTCTCACTAAACTGCTGGCCATTGTAGTAGTATAAATATATTGTTTTATATAGTTATGATAGGTTTATTTATTTCCAATCACTCTACAGCCTCTTTATTCACAAATAATATTAAACAAATCTTCTTAAATTTATATATATATATGTGTGTGTGTGTGTGTGTGTGTGTGTGTGTGTGTGTGTGTGTGTGTGTTATGTGTGTATATATATATATATATATATATATATATGTATATGTATATATGTTTTTAAAAGAAGTCTCTTCTGCTCACCAAGGCATCATTACATGTGACACTGAAGACTGGAGTAAATTACTCCAGTCTTCAGTGTCACATGATACTACAGAAATTATTATAATATGATGCTCAAAAAACATTTATGATTATTATCCATGTTAAACAGTTTTTTACATTTTTATTTCAGGATTCTTTGATGAATAGAAAGTTCTAAAGAACAGAATTGATCTGAAATGGAAAGTTTTTGTAACATTAATTACTACCATTACTACCATAACTTTCTATTCATCATAGAATTTTGGGGGGAAAATGGTACACGACTGTTTTCAACATTGAAAATAATAATTTATGTTTTTTGAGCATAAAATCAGCATATTATAATGATTTCTGAAGGATCATGTGACACTGAAACCTGATGTGTATCAGTGTATCAGCAACAGTAATGATGTTGAAAATTCAGCTTTCAAATGACATTTTAAAATATATTAAAATAGTAAATAGTCATTTTAAATTGTCAAAATATTTCACAATATTACTGTTTGTCATTTATTTTTCATCAAATAAAGCAGCCTTGGTGAGCAGAAGAGACTTCATTTAAAAACGTAAAAAAACTTACTGATCTAAAACTTTTGACCAGTTGTGTGTGTGTGTGTGTGTGTATATATATATATATATATATATATATATAATTTTATTACAGTTATTATAACAATTCCTTGCATTTGAACGGTACCTGAAATCTTAGTAAAGACATTTAACAATTGGGTTTATTGGCTGGGGAAAACCCCCCCAAAAAAACAGCAAAACAAATTTTGTGAAACAGATATTGCATCCATAACAGTAGTATCCACAATTATAAGAGAAGGAAAAAAGGGACATAAAAAACATCAATTGTAGTAATAATATAGTATGTTGCAAGGCAATGTCAGCAGCTCAAATCTATAGACCATTTCACAAGATGTAAACAACACTGGTCCAGAAGCACTTCCTGTTTCAGTTTTTTAACACTACATAAAAGCTGGCATAAAATACAACCAACAACATATAAAACTGAATCAAAAAGTTAAACAAACATCTTTAAGATGTTTTCTTTACATGTAAAATAAAGAAAACAAACTGAAACAGGAAGTGCTTCTGGACCAGTGTTGTTTACATCTTGCGAAATGGTCTATATTCCATGTATATTAATTTATTATTACAAGGGATAATATAAAGTCAGTCTCCATTTTTAATCACACTTTTGGGTTTATTTTTCAACAATGAACAGCTGACATGAGAAACATTGGTATTGGTTGACCAACTTTTACATGCATTAATGCAGTCATTAATGGCAGCATGCAAGTTCAAATACAGTCGATTATAATTTGTCTCGTTGTTTTCTTCATGTTGATCTTGGAAATACTTTGCAAATGGCTTTATCTAATTAAAAAAATGAATGTGAAGCCTAGTACCATTAGAGCATGCGTTCAGAAAGCATGTATGATCACGCAGCCTTTCTAATGACATTCTGTGTGTGTGTGAATGAGAGCGAGGGCAAAGTGTTGTGAATGTCCTTTCATAAGGCAGTTGTTGCCGCTGAGCTGCTCTGCCTTCAGTTTTGGGGAGGTGAAGGGATGTGATGTTAATTGCCGGCAGTTTGCTGCTGAAATGTGCTGGCCACATGCTGCCACTCACTCACCCCCTCAACAAAGACACAATTATTCAGAGAGAGAGAGAGAGACCACACTCCACCAGATCTCTACCCAGCTCACACTATTTTACCATGTTTGTTCATTTCTCTCTCTATATACAGAGAGAACCAGATAACAGGAGCTGCTGTGTAGTATAGCATTATATAAAATAATATAAAACCATTATAAAAAATGTAGTTAATAATAGTCTAGATTAGTAATTGTAATTTCTTAGTTTAGTTTAATAGTTAATTAAATAATTTAGAATATTTTTTGTACACTGTATTTGCGCTAAACTTGAACACACTGAATAATATTAAATCGTTTGTATCAATCATACCCTAATATGACATGCATACTGTACACAATGGTGAACAGCAAATATTTATCCTCATATATTTTTACTAAAACATTTTAATCCCATCAAATCAGCAGTTTGAATCAATTCAACTGATTCAATGAAATGAGTTAAACTTAAACTTTTTGCAACTAAAGTAAGTTTAATATAAGACATTGTTAAAGGAGTAGTTCACTTTTAAAAAACCTTTGCTGATAATTTACTCACCCCCATGTCATCCAAGATGTCCATGTCTTTCTTTCTTCAGTCCAAAAGAAATTAAGGTTTTTGATGAACACATTCTAGGATTTTCTCCATATAATGGACTTCAATGGGAACCAAACAGTTCAAGGTCCAAAAGAGAGTTTCAGTGCAGCTTCAAAGGGCTTTTTTAATGCCATGCAGGATGATGGATTCTCAGGAGAACAGAGCTTTTTGACAGATGAGGAACTAGATTACCAGGATAGACCCAGCTGAAGTGCCATTTATTTATTTACTGTAAAAGTATAAAAGTATAAAAAGAATAGAATAAATAAAATAGAAATGCAAAGCCTGTGATGTGGCCCTCTGTGTGATTGCTGATAGGAACTGTTTTGAGGCTTGGCACCAGTGAATTTCATGAGGCCCCAAATAGGGTTGGGTATCGTTTGAATTTGAACGATTCTGATTCCGATTCCTTGTTTCGATTCCGGTTCCTAACGATTCTCGATTCCGATTCTTTTAAAGGGTTAGTTCACCCAAAAATGAAAATGAAGTCATTAATTACTCACCCCCATGCTGTACCAACCCCGTAAGACCTTCGTTCGTCTTCGGAACACAAATGAAGATATTTTTGATTAAATTTGAGAGCTGTATAACTACCACATTGGCTGCCTAAGGGACTGCCTCTTGACGGCCCAGAAAGTCAATGAAGAAAATGTTTAAATATCCCAAGTGACTACCGTGGCTCAACTATATGTTTATCAAGCGAAGCGAATACTTTTTGTGCGAAAAAACAAACAAAAATAACGAGTTTATTCGACTATTTATTTTCTTCCTTGTAGGCCAGAACGAGACTTCCTTAGATTTCCACGACGCATGCGCGAGATTTGCGATCTGCTCACACCAGCTTACACTACTTCAGATCGCAATTCTCGCGCATGCGTCGTGGAAATCTAAGGAAGTCTCGTTCTGGCCTACAAGGAAGAAAAGAAATAGTCGAATAAACTCGTTATTTTTGTTTGTTTTTTCGCACAAAAAGTATTCGCTTCGCTTGATAAACGTATAGTTGAGCCACGGTAGTCACTTGGGATATTTAAACATTTTCTTCATTGACTTTCTGGGCCGTCAAGAGGCAGTCCCTTAGGAGCCAATGTGGTAGTTATACAGCTCTCAAATTTAATCAAAAATATCTTCATTTGTGTTCCGAAGACGAACGAAGGTCTTACGGGGTTGGTACAGCATGGGGGTGAGTAATTAATGACTTCATTTTCATTTTTGGGTGAACTAACCCTTTAAGAGGCAGGGTCAAAAAAGTTTAGCTAACCTTGCTAACCAATGGTCTTTTGAAGGAAATAATCCTTTCTGAAGGAAATACTCCTGTAAAAATACTCCTTTTGTCACAAATTTTGCATTTTGCCGAGATTTCGTTATTTTTAGAAAAGTGAAGCCACACTTTGGATCGCCGACGTAAGGTACTCATGTTCGACTCGCGTGGTTATGCCAACACTTCCGGTAGACGCTTCTTCGTTGGTGTTGTTCAGCGGTTTCTTCTTCCGCTCGGCGGACTGTGAATATCGAAACTAGGAATCGAAATTTTAACTTTTGAACGATTCCGGGAAAAACTAAAAGTTAGTCTCGGTTCCAATCGATACTCGATTCTCGATACCCAACCCTAGCCCCAAACGCCTGGACTTCTTTTGGAAAAATGACAATAGTTTTGGTTCTGTACAAGTTATAATGTTTATTCCTGTGCTCCAGGACTCCAGAGACATGAACAAACTGTTTTCCAGAGGAAATTTGATTAGCTTTTATTTATTTTAATTGAGTGATTCAATTTCTGATTTATTTTTTCATTTGTCTTTATGGTCCCATAGCTTATTTTACATTCAAGTGACATCAATGCAACACAAATATGCTGAAAGTTCAATTTGTCCTGAAGAGGTGTGTCAATTGTCTGTGCACAAAAGGGTTAATGTTTTACAAGCTTTTTTAGTAAATAAAACCAGACGGAAAATTAATTGTAAAAATACCCTTACAGTTCTTTGAGGGTTAATAAAAATTTCCCCTCAAAAATACTTCCTGTTTTCGGTCGAAGCCCACAGTAGTCGATTGTCGATCTCACGCGTGCGATCATTAGTGAAAATCATCTTTCACATCTACTGCAGTCAGATTGACCGTGGTCACTCTTAATAACACCACTCACATGGCTGTGCACTCGTAATGACAAATGTAGAGCCAGACCGATATTATCGGCCGATATTAGGCATTTTCCAAAATATCGGTATCGGCAGTTATAATGGCCGATAAATGAATATTTAAAAAATGAAATAAAAACGGACAAAACATGCTTCATTCATCTCTCCTTGGCCTGTTATTGAAAATGTATGTTTTACAATTTGCAGTATGATGTTATCTATTACTAAATTATGGCTCATCATAGACTAGCTAATGCCACTATCATCAGTGGAAGACCGCTAACGTTAACATTTAATGAGCTTGGAAACCACAATGAACTTTTTCTGCCTAAATAAAGTAATGATTACTGTATTTATAACTAGCATATCTCTAGTTACAGTCCCTGCATTGTAAAATGTAAGTTAGACTTGCGAGGAGTGAACATTTAGACATAGAGAAAAAGTATCAAACGTATCTTGTGCAGAAAAGTTTGCTTTTCTTTTACACGTGTGTGAAATCCAACAATATTTAATAAAAAAAATTATACCATGGTCTGGGTGAATACTCGATTCTGATTGGCTGCAGGGTGTCCGTTAAAAAGTGATAGAGGACACCTAGTAAAGTAGTTCTGGTGAAACTGCCTGTTTACCATTCGAAATGAATAAATAAATGCGCTGCCCACAACAGCTGTGAGTAACCATAGCAACAGGCAGTCAAAGTATCCGTTAACAATTTGCTCTATCAAAACAAACATCTAACGTTATTCTGCTAAGAACCAATCATATGCCATAGACATAATATCTTGTGTTCTTATTGGCCATGTCACATGCGAGTAATACGATATAGCTCTGGAGAGTTCAGAGTTCAGTATGCATCCAGCGAGATAAGAGTGAGCACTTTGCCTGTGTGATTTTGAGTTAATAAATCCTCATGATAAAACGAATTCAGCGTGCACCTCCTTCCATCGTAATATGAACAAAAGCTTTACAAGTTAGATATTACATAGCCTACTAATACAACAATGAGCGACTTCGTTTTTTCGTCAGTCTCTCACGGACTGACGGAGCCCAGTAAGACTCGCATCAATGTCACCGACATTATTTGACGGATCTCCAGTCCAGCATCGGAGAGTCGATCTACAGCAGTGGTTAGTGTAACGTTAGACTGGTGTAACACATAGTGTTTTATGTGTAATAAAAAATAACTATGCCTAACCTTACCTTTGTGTTTCATGAAAAAAAGCATTTTTGAACCTGAAGGGTTCTACAAGCTGAGCGGACTATATCTCAAGTTACTATATAAATCGTCAGGCAAGTTATTATTTAAAAAAAACTAGATTTAGCCTAATTAAAATATAAACTAATGTTTTAAAAATGTTTTATTTGGCAAGTGACCATGGTATAAGCGGGTTAATGCCCTCCGAGGTGTCCATTGTCAGGTTTTAATGGACTTTGGCGGAGGCAACCGTCCTCCGCTGCGTGTCGGCCGGTTCACGCCTCGCCGTCGTCCATTAAAACCTGACAATGGACACCTCGTCGGGCATTAACCCTTACATATCGGCCGATATATCAGAATATCGGATTTTAAAACCCAGAAATATTTGTATCGGTATCGGCCTTCAAAATCCTTTATCGGTCGGGCTCTAGTATCCACAAGTTTCCTACGCCCCATGAGGCCTTGCGTCAAAAGTGGGCGCGACTTCCGGTTGGAAGTAAACAAAGCGCGATTTGACATGCTTGACACTCGTTCATTCAACATTTGACAGTCATTCAAGTTATAGCGATCCAAACTAGCTAACGATGTGGGAACACAACCTCAACGAAATTAAAAAGGGTGAAATAACAGTACCTTTACCCTCCGCAGTAGTTGATTGGGAGTATTATAATATAACATTATTAATAATCAATACTCATCAAGGCATGGTGACAGACAGTTGTGCGAGCTGACAAACAATTAAAATAAAAAACACACACTTAGTCATTGTGCTTTGGAGTTTATTCAAAATTATAAATGAATGTGCTGCTTGAATACATTAACTGGCACATTTGGTATTCTGTCAACTCAGGCTTTGATCCTGAGTTTAGGTGTAACATCAGTAGCGAACAGCCAATCACATGCTGATAGAGTTTATAGAATATTAAGAATTTAAACAAATATACACAGGAAGATTCGTCATCTTTTGGGAGGTGATGGAAACTACAGTCGTTGGCAGGATCACTCTGATTTCGTTTTCGGCTTATGTTCAAAACAATCCCGTTTAAGCCACTAAATTAGTTTAGTCCGGCTATACATACAACCGCGAACAGCACATGTTGTCCCTGAGCTCCGTAACGACATCTCTCATAAAGATTTGCGTCTTTAAATAGTAAAATAATTCTCAGAAAAACAGCTAGCCTCTTCGCTAACTAACACACAAAATACCATTGGAATGCTACTTCCGCCGCGTCACCGGAAGTTTCACCCACTTTATTTTTTACAGGAGCGCCCCTCGGAAACTTGTGGATAGAGGCTAAAAGCAGGTTTAGAACTTGCCCCATTGAAGTCAACAGGGTGCGAATTTTAAAAAGACGATTACAAAGTGTAGGCAACACCGATTTTTGTCGTTTTTGTGTCTACTGACAGCACTCCAGATGTACAAAAAAAATTAGCTCAATGTTAAAATTGACTGGAGTTCTCCTTTCAGTATATTAAAATCATGATATTAGCTTGTTCGTCATTTTTTTTTTATTGTCAGCATCTGCTATATATCGTAAACATTCAATGTATTGCCCAGTCCTAATCTACACTGTATTACTGTATTTTGTCTCCCATCTCCCAAGTCTTTGTTCCCTCTGATTACAAGAGTAAACATGCATTTATCTTAATTTTCTCCAACGATGTATTCAGCATGTAATGAGTGTTTTCGTAAAGGTTGAGCTGTTTGTCTGGCGTCAGTATCTTAATACTGTATTTTACCAAATGAAAAAGTTCAAGAGCCGTGGGCTGACATTTCACAACTGTCTTCTCTGCAGCGGAAGATCCTTCTGAAAGTTATGTGAAGCTGAGAGATTTTGTGCTGGTGAAGATGTGCTTGACTCTGTCGTCCTTCTCCAATGAGAAACTCTCTCAGGGCTTCAGTGAAGAAATGGCGTCTGAGGCCAGAGAAAAACTCAAGATCAACAAGGTAACTTCCCTTACAGGTTTATTTATTTTACTCTATTAATTTTGCCTTTTTATTGATATTGATGGTCCAGAAAAGACTTGAGAAAAGGTGAAAATAAGATTGTAATAGGATTGAAAAGTCACAAGATGCATTCAAACCTGCTTCTCACATACACGATTTAATACTACCACCATTTTCAAACCTGATTAGATAGTTTTAGTTTAACCCTAAAACCGTATTCTGGACAAATGTGGGTAAAATAGTTTTGATTTATTTTTAAAAAATACTTCCCTTGATCTGAGCGGTACAAGACTTGGCTACTTTTCCTAAGTTTGCCTCTTGAACACACACAGAATTGAGTTATTTTTTTTGACTCAATTCTACAATGTTAAGTGGGTGAAAAAAAAAAACTCCTTAATCTTGTATTTGGGTCAAAAATGGGCACCCATAGAAATGAATGGGAAAAACTGATTTAGAGTACTCTAAAATAAGCCAAAATAAGACACCAGGTGACAGCAAAGTCACTTCATCTTTAGGTTTTAGCTCTAAGAACTTATTGGAATGATATTTTAATGTGGTTAAAAAAATTAAAAATAAATAAAACAAAAATAAGCATAGTTTGCATGGAAAATATGGTACTTTTTGAAGTAAATAAATTAAAAAATGCCCCAAAATAAAAAAAAACACACACCATAAATGGATAGACAAAACTTTATCGAAGACAGTGATATAACATTTATAATAGCTAAAAATTAGGATCACACCTGAGTCCTCTGTGCCCACATTTGTCCACAATTACAGGATTAAGGGCTATAAAGTGAATACGGTTTGAGGGCTACATTAATCATTTTTTTGTTTCAGTATATCCAATTAGTTGTTTGTGATATCACTAAAAGTGTTCCCAAAAGTTCCTGTGTGGCATTTGATCTGCTTTAAAATGTTTTAGTAAAAATATATGTAAGTTTTATTACTATACATTTGTTATATTGTTTCACAGTTTCGCAGCCCTTCCTTTAAAACTTTACTGGTGCTGTGTAGTGTAAGGCCAAGTAGTTCTACAATTAATTCTACAAAGAGTTACTGTGATGATGGCTTTGTCCTGATGGGTTTTCAACCTGCAATGCCCCTAAAGGTAGGAGTGAACATCCGTTTTCTCTGAGGGCCATTAGCAGGTAGTGAGTGGGAGTGGGCCTAACAGTGACCCCTGTGGGACTCCTCTCTCTCTCGCCACTCCGGTCACTCTTTAACTGCTCCAATTATGACCCAGCATCTCCTTTTATGCCCCACAATCCCCTCTGTTCGTGTTGTTTGTGAGTGATTATCTCAGGGTGGTGCCTGTGGCATGGCCAGGCAAAATGCGTGTCTCTCCATACTACCCTAGTGGGAACTGCGTGAGGTATGGTGGACCTCTCGGAGTCATAGTTACAGAAGGAGTCAGAGTAGCTCGGGAATCCCAGAGCAAGATGCTTTTAACCAGAGAAGTGGACGCCATTAAAGATTCAGTCCATAATTGCTGGGACTGGTACATTTTGTGCAATGTATTTAGAGACTCTGCTCTTCACTGTTACAAAACTATTCATCAGTGACTGCTAGGATATGGACATTACCTTATCTTACTGTAATGTGACGTGCAATGTGAGCGTTCTTTACATGTTTAATTGATTAGAAACAAATAATCTGATCATCTATGGTCTTTTCTTTTGTGTATGTCTCTGCTTATGTGGATAGCATCTGTGGCACACTGACATTTCTTTTATAGCTGTGCTACATCTTCTCTTGTTTCACTTAAATCATCTCAAGTTAAGAACATTTCAGGTCCATGTTTTATATATTTCTTGGTGAAAACCATGTAGTTGGATGAATATTGCGTAGTCAGTTGGTAATTAACAAAATAAACTTCTTTAGGGTGATGCACGACTCAGCTTTGTGTCCTAATCACACTATCTGGGTTAATTTTGCAAAAAATGATGGGCTGACTAATTCTACCCACAGGAATTACACTGGTAAAACACAACTAAACTTTCAACTGGAATTGTATCGGTATGTCATAACTAAACTTTCAAAGTAGTTCCACATCTAAAGTACTATATTGACCGCAGGTACAGCTTAAATAAATCAATTTTACTAAAGAACTCATGGAAAAGTGTTAAAGAAAATATGAACCTTGCATATTCTGCTTTTAAATGCTCAGGACTTAAAGGGAAACTCCTCTTTTTTTTGGAAATGCGCTCATTTTACAACTCCCCCTGAGTTAAACTGTTGAGTTTTACCTTTTTTGAATCTCCGGTTCTGGCGGCACCACTTTTAGCATAGCTTAGCATACATCATTGAAGTGCACTAGACCATTAGCATTTCTCCCAAAAAAATTATATGACTAGGAACTATACTCTCCTTCCTGCGTAATAATCAGGAAACTTCACTGTCGCACCATGAGTGCAGCAGGCGTAATGACTACACAAACTTAGTCCCGGTCACGTTGGAAGCTGGGGACTTTTTTCAGGCGCTGCGTCATAACATTACGCCTGCTGCACTCATGGTGCGACAGTGAAGTTTCCTGATTATTACGCAGGAATGAGAGTATAGTTCCTAGTCATATCACCCTAGAAAATCGCAACTTTAAATTTTCCGTCTGTCTCAGTGCACAATGTTACTATAGAAGTCAAGTTTGACTGTAAATAGGAAAAATATCGAAACACTTTGTTAATTTTTGGGGGGGGGAAATGCTAATGGTCATGTCCACTTCAATGATGTATGCTAAGCTATGCTAAAAGTGGTGCCGCCAGAACCGGAGATCGGCTGAATGGATTCAAAAAAAGGTAAAACTCAACAGTTAAACTCTGGGGGAGTTGTAAAATGAGCATATTTCCAAAAAAAAAGTGGAGTATCCCTTTAAAGGAGTAGTTCACTTTAAAAAAACTTTTGCTGATAATTTACTCACCCCCATGTCATCCAAGATGTCCATGTCTTTCTTTCTTCAGTCGAAAAGAAATTAAGCTTTTTGATGAAAACATTCCAGGATTTTTCTCCATATAATGCACTTCAATGGGAACCAAACGGTTCAAGGTACAAATGAGAGTTTCAGTGCAAACTGTTCAAAGGGCTTTAAACAATTCCAGACGATGAATAAGGGTCTTATCAAGCGAAACGATCGCTCATTTAAAAAAACAAAAAACAAAGTTTAAGCTTTATAAGCTCAAATGCTCGCCTTGCTCTGTTCTGTGATGCGCGTTCGTGACTCTCCTGTTCGAACTCATCAAAATGAACGAATATTTTCCTGAGTCAATTCGTTCATTTTGTTCGTTGAATGAACCAAATGACACAAAAAAAAGATTTGTCCATTTTGATAAACGAGTTCGAACAGGAGAGTCATCACAGAACAGAGCAAGGCGAGCATTCGTGCTTATAAAACTTAAACTTTATTTATTTTATTTTTTTAAATGAGCGATCGTTTCGCTTGATAAGACCCTTATTCATCATCTGGTGTCGTTTAAAGCCCTTTGAACAGTTTGCACTGAAACTGTCTTTTGGACCTTGAACCGTTTGGTTCCCATTGAAGTCCATTATATGGAGAAAATCCTGGAATGTTTTCATCAAAAACCTTAATTTCTTTTCGACTGAAGAAAGAATGACATGGCCATCTTGGATGACATGGGGGTGAGTAAATTATCAGCAAAAGTTTTTTTTTAAAGTGAACTACTCCTTTAAAGGACAACGTTGGCGCTAAATGAATTAGACTTTGGAACTGAACTCTATGAACTGCGTTCGTGGTTTGACTTATCGAGTCTGTTTTCCAAAGATGGCTCCTGCCTGTATACACGAAGTGGACTGTCTTCATAAAGTATCTTCTTATTAAACAGTCTGTACACTTACAAAGTTCTCAATGCTTCGTTTTGCTTGTATGGACCCTCATTATGTTACTCTGTTAGTGTGGGGCTATTTTGAGCCTTGTTAGTGGTATAAACTAGCGATTTCTCTTTACTTATTATATGCCCCCATATAGGCTAAACAGTTTTTAGAGATAAAACTCATTCGATTATCATGAAAACAAATCTCAGAGAACGGTCGACTATGTATCGATGTGTAATTAGACCAAAGGTTCGTTTTGCGCCGGAGTACTCCTTTAATTATTGCCACAGATGCTGTCCCCAAACTTTAGAATGAAAATCAGCTAGAATGTGTGTTAAATGAAGCAAACCTTTACAACATGCCTTTTCTCTGTTCTCTTACCTTTAGAAACATGCACGGCGTGTTTATGAAATTCTGCGTCTCAGAAACACAGACATGAGCGATGAAGAGAAAGCCCGAGAATTTCGCTTGGAGGTGAAAAAGCGACTCTTTGGACCATACAGAGTAAGTGTGCTTGTGTGTGTGTGTGTGTGTGTGTTTTATCTGCTCATGTCTCCGTCTGTGCCGATGGGCCGCATTTAAGAAGCAGAATGACTGCAATCTGACTCGGTACACGGAGTGCATTACCCATTAGGCGTAGCTACAACAACCAACATGCAATGATTAGTCAGTCATAAAGTGCACTGAAAGGAGCTTGGACTTCATGTACTGAAGGTGGGGCGCAAGAAACAACAAAACAAGTGAAGTCTTGCCAAAACAAACCCCGACTGCCAAGATTGGCCAGCCCGTGTAGCGTTCTCCAAACTACAACATGCGAAATGAAGCATTTCTTGACTTCAAAGAGAGCGGCACATTTCTAGCCCCGTTTATGTTAGTGCGCCGTGTAAAAGCGAACAGAAACAAAACTCTTTCAGTGCTGCTGTTCTGATACTCTGCAGTCTTTGTCTGGCGTAATTTATTCATTGAGTGGTGTGAATAGTTTCTGCCGTTTCCTGTGTGATCCTCTCACGCGGTGTTAAGAGCGAGAGGGACCCGAGGCCTCGGTCCGGGTTTGTTTGAGGGTATAATGGCTCACACCGGGCGGCAGCCGCAGTCTCCACATCCACACCACGAGCTCCATTCACAACAAGTGTCATTATTACAGATTTGCATCTGATTTAAGCGGAGCCATTTAGCAGGGAGAATGCAGCACCCAGTCACCTGCACACGGTCTCTCTCTAATCCCATCTCTCTGCGTGAAGACACACGGATGCTGTGTGTGTCTCAGGATTGGAGCTGAGCATCTGTGCAATGTCGCTCAATTATTTTGACCCTGATGGTTGTCTTACTGCAGGCTTTGGTTTGTTATAGTTATGATTTGGATGCAGTATTTTAACATCTTAAAGACCACCTGTGCTGAAAATCAAGTTGTTTATATGTCTATTTAGTGTTTTTAATATGCGTTAAGACAAAGGGATGCACCGATAATTCTTTATATTTGAAAGCCGATAACCGATATATCGGCCGATTAATTTAAATCCAAATTTGTATCTAATTTTGAGAGCCTGATTACAACAACAAAAGTCTCACAATTAAATCCATGTCCCAAGCGCACGATTATAATGATGTTCTCATTATAGTGTTGTTCAGACGATATGACAGATTTGCGTTGCACATGTTGTACCGAACCATATTTTCATTTTTTTTTAAAGAGATTTCAATAATATTTCAAGAAAATCAAAAACATAAACAGTGCTCAACAAGTGTCTCAGCCGAAGGGAATAATACATTATTTATCGGCTTTAATATATCGGCCACATTTTCTTACCAGGCCGATAACGATAACATAAAAAATGAACATATATCGGCCGATACCGATATTCTGGCCGATATATCGTGCATCCCTAGTAAATTCATAAGTCGACGACAGCATTGCTGAGTATTTTCTCTTTAAAACTGCAGTGAACCAAAAAGACAGTTGCAAAAACACTGAAATCGCCCTTTTTCGCTACCTCACGTGTGCTGTAACCAATCACATCAACTTGTTGGGGAACGGGGGAGCTTGAGAGAAGACAGGTTATCCTGGTGTATTTTTCTGTTGATATGAATAATCAGGCACATTTATCAGTGTAGAGTGAGTTGTGTTATATGATTTATATTATGATGTACTATATGCTTTTTTCTTATAAGTGTTTCTGCGGATGCTGATTGGTAGAAGGCCGCGTTCTGAATCTGAGATGATGAACGGGACCATGGTTTGTGTAACATTAGCAACACATGATTAGCTGTTTGATATCGTAGCCAAGCCAAAGGCTAATCATATGAATTATCGTTATGTGTCCGATGTATTATAAAGCGATACATAAAACACGACCATTCTGATATTGACTTTGTATGCGACCCTGTATAATTCACACTTCCTTGTCTTCTGAATCAGTTTCTGACTCAAACATATATGGCTGAATTAAACCAGTGTTTACACTTGCCATCGTGCAGCGTTAAACTCTTGAGTGTGAGTGAGTGGAGGCGGGGCTCATTTACATATTCATAGAACCGTATACTAAATGAGGCAAGGGTGTCGAGTTACATTCAAGTTTTGAGGGATACAATTGACCATAGGGGAACTTCACAACCTCTGTGCAATTTTTTTGCACTCTCTGCACTGATTATGCGAGAAAAAAATGTATGCATTATCATCAAATTGTCCAAAAATGTAAAGAAATGCACAAACGTTTCAATGGTGGGGTTTAATTTACGTTTTATTTGGCAAGGATGCATTCAGTTGATCAAAAGTGACAGTGAAGACATTTATGATGTTTCAAAAGATTATATTTTACTCATGATAAATGCTGTTTCTGTGTTTGGACTTACTGTTAGGGGTGTAACGATGCCCTCATGTCATGATTCAATACATATCACCATATTGAACTCACGATATGATATTATTGCGATACTCCAAGACATATGGTAAAAGGTTAACTAAAACTAACATTTTAGTTGATTTAAATGCTAAATTGGATATTACATTGTGGGTTCAAATGAATAGGTTTGGACTTGGCGTTTGTAACCCAAGGACAATGGTGACACCAGAATAAATATATTCATGATTCTGAAGAGTAATTTTCTCATTTTGTTCCAAGTTAATATTTATTTAGTCTGTTTTTACCATAAAAGTGCATACATTATGCAACCACAAATGAGATTTGAGCAGTGTTTTTAGTAGGGCTGCGAAATGATTAATCGCATCCAAAATAAAAGTTTGTGTTTACATAATATATGTGTGTGTGTGTGTGTGTATAATTCATTTGTATATATAAATACACACACACAAGAAAAATTTGTTATTAATATATCAAATATTTATATTTATGTATAATATAAATTTTGTATATACTGTACATGCAAATGTTTCTTAAATATATTCATGCATGTGTGTGTATTTTTTATATACAAATTAATTATACACACTACACACTAGGGCTGGGTATTGACACAAATTTCACAATTCGATTCAATTTCGATTCACAAGCTTGCAATTTGATTTCGATTCGATATTGATTATTTTGGATATCAGTTACAATAAATGGCAAATTTTCTCAAGGAAATCAAATCTCTTAACTAATGCTGTAAACTATAGGAGTCTAGTTGTAGCCTATAGACTTCATTAGCCTAATATGAAGGTAATAATGAACTGTTTTGTAGCTATACAAACACTTAAATTACACTTTTATTTATTTTTATAATAAGAAGATTATATGAAATATAAACATTTAAAAGGTGGCTGTCATAAAAACTTGCCAGATTTATTCAGATATGCATTAAATATTGAAGAACATTAAGATTATAATGCATATGTAATATGGTGTATATATTTTGTTATTTTTTTCTAGCTGACTAACGAGTTTATGTGGGTTTTCTGAGGTAAATATGACGATACATGACATTGATTACAAGCTGTTTAACTGACGTCTTTCCACGGTTGAAACGCCGGAAGAGAGATCAGCGCTGCTGCTTCTCTTGAGCTGAGCCAGAGCGATCTCACGCCACTGCGCCAAAACGTTATTTATGTTTTTGAATTTCTAAAGAAAATGGACGTAATTTGAAAATTGAGACGTTGTTTCATATCAATAGTAACAAAGGACAAAGATTATTACGATTTTTTTGGATGCGCGCAGCCGCGATACAATGTCCCATTCATTCAAATGAAACAGGATGACTAATCGATTCTTGAGATTTAAGAATCGACATCGGTTCGTAAAAATGAGAATCGATTAATATCGAGAAATCAATATTTATTACCCAGCCCTACCACACACACACACACATATTATGTAAACACAAACTTTTATTTTTGGATGCGATTAATCGTTTCACATTCACTAGTTTTTAGTGAATATAAATTCAAATTTTGTCCTGATTCTCATGCAAATCTATCATGTCTTCAGGAGTCTTGAAATATAGGCTAGTCTCTGAGCTTAACATGTTCCGGTTGCTGTTTGTATTCATAATAGGAAAAAGAGCAGCGTGAACATTCTACTAAATTGCTCCGTGTTCCACAGTCGAATGCCAGACGATTCTCAGGAGGATTTATCAGAATTCTGTGTCCATGCAGTGGTCTTTATCTTCTTGTCTTACTTAGGTTGTACTCGATTAGCTGTTTCTTTTCACCGCACGTGTCCTGATCCTTCGGAGGTTGTGGGGATATTAGTTGATATTGTGCAGATAATGTGAGTTGATCTGAGATCTGCTTCAGTCCAGCACTGGTGATGTGTTGGATCAGAACCGCTCTCATCGTGACACAGTCCAGGACAGAAAGCTCTGACAGCAGTGAAGAGACCGAGCCAAAGAAAGAGGGAAAAACATAAGGCTGGGAAGGAAATAGAGCAGGATCTGCAGACCATATGCGTGTTGCAGAATTTTGAATGTGTGTGTGTGTAGGTAGGGATTTATGGAGGTAATTCGCTAATAATGAACTTTGCCCAACATTTTTTTTAGGTCTAACAACATAAATTGATTAATTTGAATGACATAAGTTGGATTGACACTGCAAGACACTCAATGCACAATAATTTAAATTTAAATGGATCCAGTCCAATATTTTGCCTGTTTACATTCACTTTAGATGTTATTATCTCATCAACACCAAGAAGAATATTTAAAGGCAGGGTAGGTGATTTGATCCAGAATTTTTTTTTTAATGCTGGTTGGAAGTCATATACTGCATAAAAACTTAAAGGTATAGCGGAGGATTTTCTTTTTCCGGGTGGGTAGTCTATACTATTGGTCCACCTAAGTGTCAATCATTCTGGTGATATGTTTACGTAAGGCCGTCGTACGTGCTCGTCCCTATAGTTTTCACTTTCAGGTGTATCATGTCGGAGTTGCGGTTTCAGCCATTCCTTTGAAAATGGCTGAGGGTCGAAAGAGAAAAAAAATGTATACGAAGTGTATGATAAGAAGAGAAAGGCCGCAGAATATAGAAACAAGACCAGAGTGATTTTGGGTGAATATTTCACACGCTGGCGTACGCTAAAAGCACTGATGCCGCAGTCGCGAAGATTCTACTAGACAGGTAAAGTTTGTCATGCTATTTGGAGAAATCCATTTAAAATCACTAGTAAAAGTTAATGCAAGCTACTTAGCAATGCTAGCCCTGGCACGAGTCATGCACCGCATAGACACGGTAAACATCTCAATTTGTCTAAAGTAGCCTTTTGACCAAAATGGTAAATGGTATCACCCTGAAATATTCTAAAACCTTGTGTGTTCATGTGTTCATATTCTAAAACCTTGTGTGTTTATTATTACACAAATGCAACAAGCTACTTCTCCATTACATATGCAACTATGTATAAAAATAACGTATTATTAACAATGAGACATATTAGGTTAAGGACCAACCTAATAGCACTGCTTATATGTTGCTATGTAACGTAACTTAATTGCGATTTGCAAAATAGTTTCCTCGGAACGTATTTCGTGTGATACAGGGTTGCACATATCATGTCTTGAGTCCTCGGTCACTCAATCGATCAGTATAATAAGTAAATAAAACACGGAAGGGCATTTGACATGTCTTTTTTATGAATATTTTTGAGTTAGTTTACAATTTGCAACATAATTGTGCAAGGCGTAATAGTAGGTGTTCCCTCTCGGGAGTGTTGTGTTTGCTGTTTGTGCATGTGATTTGTTTGTGCAAAGATCCTCCGCTATAGACCATTTCACAAGATGTAAACAACACTGGTCCAGAAGCACTTCCTGTTTCAGTTTTTTTACACTACATAAAAGCTGGGATAAAATACAACCAACAGAACATTTCAAACTGAATCAAAAAGTTAAACAAACATCTTTAAGATGTTTTCTTTACATGTGAAATAAAGAAAACAGTTACAAACTGAAACAGGAAGTGCTTCTGGACCAGTGTTGTTTACATCTTGCGAAATGGTCTATACCTTTAATATTTGCAACGACCCAATAAATTAATTGAACATTTTACCTTTGGGTATTTAAAACAAGTTGGATCATTGTTGAGAAATGTTCCTGGGAATATCTTGAAAAATAAGAAGAATTTTTCATGAAAGTTGACATTTTTCACTGGGACATGTGACATCCACACACACTATCTGCACTGCTTTAGCTCTTTACTGGATGAATTACACAGTAGAGTTGTTCAGTCGTCGTGATATCAACCTGGGAGCCTGATTTGCCATGGCTTCTCTTTCTCTCTGGAATTTCCCATGGGTTTTCAATAGTGCTTTTTTTGATTCTTGAGGAAAATAAGGTCTGTGGTAACAATACCATTTGATGTTTTGTGTAACACAATTATCCCTCAAATGTTAATTTTGTAAATCAATTCCTGCTGTTTTTTTAATGTAAGTTGCTACAGAAAGACCACAGTGATTGTCCGTCATGTAAACTCAGATCCTCACGTATGAAGCTGTGATAGGATCTACATCTACACTCTAAACAATGCTTGGTTGTTTTAACCCAAAATTGGGTCAAATATGGACAAACCCAAATGTTGGGTTAAAAAATGTTATTTAAAATTTTAACCCAACTTCAAATTTCTCTTTAATTACATTTTTAACCCAACACTTGGGTTTGTCCATATTTGACCAGCATTTTTATGACTGTGTGTGTATGTGCGCGAGTTCATGTTTTGAGTGTCTTGATTCATTGCCAAAGCCTCTCAACAACCTTACAGACTCAATTTTTGTTCACAGCTCTTTTATTTCTCCCCTCTTTGTTTTTGTACGTGAAGTTTAGCTGTGATGTAATCCCATTTGCCCTGGGGTTTCTATTCAATGGCGGGTTTTGGATGGGATCGGGTGAGCTGGTTTGCATCTTATTTTCTCTTTCGCTGTACTGACACCTGTGTATTTTTCGTTGTGCGTGTAGAAAAACCAGCGTGAGCTGACTAAGATGCGGAAATGTTTGAGGCCAGAGGAGTTGGCATCCCACATCAGCCAGATGGACACGAGTATGCAACACGAGGAGCTGGAGAAAAGCTACCAGGACGTGCTTGCGGATTATCGGCGAGTCCTGGAGCGGCTGGCTCAGGTGTGAGCTACGTAAGACTTCTGCATCGTCCTGGAAAGACTGGCCGAGACACACACACTGTTCTATTGCGTTGTACACAATGTTAATGAGGGATTAAACATGAAACATCTGCATTTGTTACATTTGTGATAGACAGGGGGGCAGTTATTCACATAATAAGAGATGAGCGCATTGGTCTACTGTGGAGATGAATTTTTCAGTTGATGTTTTCTTTCCATCAAATATTTTCCTTAATGTAAAAAATGTAGATTTTGAAGCACTTCCTTGATCAAATAAAATGTTTTGTATATTGCTCAAATGTATGACTTTCCATCTCTTTGGTGATGTGTCTAAAATAAAAAGATTTTACTTAACAGGCTCAAACCCTGCATTGTTTAATGTATTATGTAAAACTTGTTTGATGTGTGCAACTGTACAAAAGTAAAATGTAAAGGGAATAAACTTATTTAGCAAGGATGCATTAAATGAATCAAAAGTTAAGTAAAGGCTTGAATTGTTAAAAAAAAAAAAACTTGAGCTTTCTATTAATTACATAATCCTGAATGAAAATGGATCATGTGAAACAGCACAGCTGGTTTCAACATTGGTAATAATCAAATGTTTCTTGAGCAGCGAATCTAAAGATTCATGTGACACTGAAGATGAGTAAAGATGCTGAAAATTCAGCTCAGATCGCATTTTACAATATATTCTGATTGAAAATAGTTTTATATTGTAATAATTTAACAATATCACTTTTTATTGTATTTATGATCAAATAAACAGCTTTGGTGAGCATGAGAGACTTTCAAAAACTAATAGTAATGTACTTTAAAGTTTGGGGAGTTGACATGAAATGAGGTTGAGGTTTGAGTTTTTTAATTTTTTTATTGTGAAATATTGACATGAACCTGAACTATTTTCAAAAGAAACTGATACTGAATCAATTTAATCAAGATTCCAATCGATCTTACTTTATATTAAGTGGATTTAATGTACTAACATTGAAATTAATAATTTGTTCAATTGGCTTAGGCTATTGTGTTTTTACATTGTACTTATATTTTAAAAATACCTGCATGTATTTACAGCAGTAATTCATTTATGTAATTGCATTTGCAATTGGTTGACTTGTCCTTACCTTACCCGTAAACACCCCGATTATTACACCTCAATAGCAGCAATAGGCCTACGTTTTACAATACAACATGAATACAACAAGTAAATTTTACTTATTTTAGATGTAAATATAAATTGGGACCTTCGAATCAAATAAAGAGCTTGTGAATTTCAATTAAATCAAAATATCTGTCAAAACCCTGTTAAAAACAAAAGTTCTGAATCTTCAACGACAGTAGACATATACACTAGACCTCACCTTGGCTACGGCAGTTCATTGGAACGAATCATAGACATATACACTAGACCTCACCTTGGATACGGCAGTTCATTAGAACGAATGCGTCAATAGAGCCGCCATCTTGAAACAGGGGAGCCCCTCCACTTTAATGCATCAGCGTCAATGTAGACACAGGTCTAACGCAAATAAAATCACCATAAATCATCATGAATGCGATTTTTCTTGTTTTTTTTTTTTTGTTTGTTCCAACGGTCAGACATGTATTTATCATTGATTCCAGAAAGAAAAAAATTTTTTTTTAATTTTTTTTTTTTAAACATTCTTCCTAGTTCATATTTCATCCGTGAACTTCATACGCTGCACAAAAGTCCGCCACCATCAATGAATTCGAAGTAAAGGCAGAGATAGCAGCGTTAACTAGCTACTTCCTATGACAAGACCCCTGTTCCAAGATGGCGGCGGTTTTGACGCATGCTTAGAGCCACAAGATGAGGTCTAGTGTATATGTCTATGTCAGAAATCTTTTTTTTTTTTTTTTTTTCTATGTCAGAAATCTTGGATGATGAATCACATTAGATGATCAGAACTAACTATTGTATAAAAAATATCCTTATAAATGCGATTTGTTTATTTATTTTCCATTTTGATTCTGTTCGTGAACTACAAACCTAAACCAAATGATTTCCTGAGGTAAGTTAAACCTGCAAAATTCGATCTCCTCGACACACGAGCTCTGAAGATTAGCTAGTTTTAGCTGGAATTACAGCACAATGATAAAGAATTTAAACCTCGGATCATTCACTCATTTCAAGTCAAATCAATTTACAAGCAGAAATGTGCTGTAAAACGTGCTCCCTCCCTTTTGTAGCTAATGCATCTTCTGATTGCAGTTAGCATTGAGTGCTTCGCTAATGACCGTTACGCTGAAACCCTTCCTGCCGCCACACGGACCACTCGTGCTGATTCCATGGATGAATTACCATCTCTTCCCTTTTACTCAACGCGTGCAGTTAAAAAATTAAGGTCTGGAGGTTAATTTTCATTTGTCATCCTCTTCAAATGTGAGAAGTTGAGCCCAGAACTCTTGACCATGTCAGATATTAATTGTATCCTCTCATGTTCCTCTGGCTCCTGAGTTCATATCAAGGCCTCTCGCCTGAATCCAAATAGAGGAGAATAATTAATGTGACTGGAGTATCTGGGGTGTTAAAGAGGATTTCCACTGAAGATTTTGACAGTAGATATTTGTGGTGGAACTGGATTTTGTGAAAGATTCAACCCAGATAACCATGAGGAGCTTAAAAAAGTCTTCTTGTTTAATTTTCAGCTGGTGAAAAATTATATTTAGATGTTTTTAGAGCAAAATGTGGGTATGAAGGTCAGCATTGCCCGTATAAACCCCTTAAACTGTAACTTTGTAACTTAAACTGGACTTTAAACTGGTCCAAGCTGATCTAAACAGGTTTTTCTGTGGGAATGTATCTCAGTCGGATCCACAACAATTTCTTTGTTGCTTTATGTACATGATACTTTGTATTTAACCCACAGATATTTATCTCTACTACAGTCTGCTTGTCATATTTCAAGCGTGTGAGCTAAAACATACCACTAGAGTTCTTGGATTAAAACACAATCCGTAACTCTCACAGCTGAAATGTCTTAAAGCATCTGACGGTCTGTGTGTGGGGGAAATAACTGTATTCTTGGAGGCATCACTCTGAGAGCTGTGTAAACCGTAATATGTGCTTGTATTGCAGGGTTTCCCCGACTGCAGTCACTCAAACCGCTGAGAACGAACACAGACATCAGAGTTAACGCACACTACAGACAGAGGCTTTTGTGTTTTACTGTGGAGGATCCATCATCATCACCGTCAGTCAGTGATCTGAGTTCAGCGCTGGGGGTAGAGAAGGTTAGATTACAGGAATCTGACTGTCTGCACCTCTTTTTTGAGATTAGCTGGTTTAGCTGGTCCTGCTTCCCTAAACTGACACGGATATAAATGCTTTCATAAGTCTGATTCATAGTGAGGATCCATGATGTATTCCCAGATGTGTCTTGCGCACTGTTGGTTTTTTCCATATTGGTTTTTATTGGATTTTCATATCCGCGAGGAACCTTTAACATCCATGGAAACTTTCCATTACACAAAAGGTTGTACAGTATATAGTTATTTACTCTAAGAAAAACATGTTTCTTTTAAGACCTGGTCACTGAAAGGTTCTTTGTGGAACCAAAATGTTTCTTCCATGGCATTGATGAAAAAAAAAATTATATTTTATTTTTAAGAGTCTGTATGAAGTGAGCATGTTTCTGTGCCTCCATTTAAAATCCATTCACCCCAAAACTTTGACCTCATAAAGACATTGTGAAAGTTTTTCAAGCTGTTGAATCCAAGTCTTCTGGATAGACATGACTGCGTTATATATTATGAACAGATTGAGCTAGGCTTTTATCCACATTGATTAGCGCACCTACATTGAGCAGCACATCAAATATGGTAAGCTAAATCTAAATCAAACTTGCTTGAGAACAAGCCTCACTGGTACTTTGCATCAAGCAAGCACGTTTGGGTTGTGGATTGATATGTGCTGAAAATCCTAAATTATCATATAAAGTGATCATGCCTCTTCACAAGACTTGTAGTGAACCTCAATTTATTTGGATTGCTTCATGAATGTTTTGAAGTGTAAAGGTTTTGGGTGAATGGACTTTTAAAGGGGAACTCCGTCTCAAAATGAACCTTTGGTCTAATAACACATTGGTACCTCGACCGTTCTCTGAGATTTGTTTTCATGATAATCGAATGTAAAGAGTTTTATCTCTAAAAACTGTTTAGCGTATAATGCTAGTATATGGGGGCATTTAATAAGTAAAAAGAAATCACTAGTTAATACAAGTCTCGACAAGTCGAACCACGAACAACGTTCATAAAGTTCAGAAGTTCGCTGAACTTCATACAGTTCAGCTCACTTGGCACGTCGTTTAAGGGTTCATGGTTCGCACTGTCTTTATATAAGATCTTAATGCTGTACACTTACAAAGTTCTCAATGCTTCGTTTTGCATGTACACTCTCAGAAAAAAAGGTACGAAAGCTGTCACTGGTGCTGTAACTTTTCAAAAGGTACACTTTTGTCCATTTTAGGTACTAATTTGTACGTTTTATGTGCTAATATATACATTTTATGTGCTAATGCATTTTTGGTGCTAATATGTACATTTCAGGTGCTAATATGCACATTTCAGGTACTAATATGTACATTTTAAGTGTTGATATGTACATTTTAGGTGTTAATATGTACATTTTATGTGCTAATATACACATTTTATGTGCTAATATGTAAATTTTTGGTGCTAATATGTACATTCCAGGTACTAATATGTACAGTTTAAGTGTTCATATGTTCATTTTAGGTGCTAATATGTACCATTAAGGTACCAATATGCACCCTTAAGGTACAAAGTGTACCTTTTGAAAAGGTACAGCCCCAGTGATAGCTTTTGTCCCTTTTTTTCTGAGAGTGTATGGACCCTCATTATGTTACTCTGTTAGTGGGGCTATTTTGAGCCTTGTTAGTGGTATAAACTAGCGATTTCTCTTTATTTATTATATGCCCCCATATAATAGCGTTATATGCTAAACAGTTTTTAGAGATAAAACTCTTTACATTTGATTATCATGAAAATAAATATCAGAGAACGGTTGACTAGGTACCAATGTTTTATTAGACCAAAGGTTCATTTTGCGCCGGAGTTCTCCTTTAATGAAGAGACATGTTTCTTTAAAAATTTGTTTCTTTGGGTTTTGAAGACTGAAGTCAACAATATCAGGGTGGGCAAATCCGGACAGGATTTTTATTTTCGAGTCAACTAGCAAGCTGTTGATTAACGCAGGAAATCATTTCAAATTGTTCCTCAGTTTGTAAAGATCAACAAAAATCACATAACGCACTTACAATTACATTGTTTCAGAAGTATTAAACATTGCATGTGCTGCCATGAGGTATTGTGACAGCTTTCCAGTCATGAGGATGTGACTTTCCTTACAGTGCTGTTTATATGGAGAGCCTTCCACTAATGACAGTGGACACCCCAGACAGCAACATAGTGTTGTCCCAGATCTGGTACGTGTTGAATCCACATGTCCCGGATGTGGCCCGGATCTGGGCCGACACTATTGGCGCTTTTCCATTACCAATACCAGCTCGACTCGACTCGGCTTGCCTCGACTCCGCTCGCTTTTCGCTGCGTTTTTCGTTGCAGACAGTACCTCCATAAATAGTACCCGGTCGTCATAGCAACCCCTTTCGTTCCTCGTTGCCCCATCAAGCTCTCGCAGGATCTTCTCTTCGGCAACCACAGAGTATTCTTCCGAGTTGCCATAATAATAGTAGTAAGTTTCGGAAATGTAGTACTCGAGACTCGGACTCGTCTCGGTCTCGAGACCATATTTTAATGGTCTTGGTCTTGTCATGGACTCGTGTGCATTTGGACTCGGAATTGACTCGTACTCGAACATTTTTTTTTTTTAGGACTCGGACTTATTCCCGAGTCCACTCGAGTTCAATTCAAAACATTTTTCATGATTATTAATGTATGTTAAAATATTTCTTTAAATTGATTGACACGCCCAGCGATTGGTGATTTTCTAGTGCGCAACTGCGCATGACAAATTGCAATAAATTACTTTTAACACCACCTACTATGTGGCCTTTTTACCCTAAACTGATCATATTTTTTAAACTCTGGTCTCGCCCTCGACTCGGACTCGACCGTCTCTGGTCTCGGACTCGACTCGGACTCGACTCTCTATGGACTCGGTCTTGACTCGGACTCGACTCTCTCTGGTCTCGGTCTCGACTCGGACTCGAGTGAGGTGGTCTCGACTACAACACTGGTAAGTTTAGTAACTATCTCTGGCCAAACTATTTAAAAATAGTGGGGTTATTCTCCATCTGGCGCGTGTAATGATGACGGTTCTCTCTGAACAATCAGCAGTCGGCATTGTTTTTACATGACATTTTAGTATCGCCTTAGCTCGCTCAGAACCTCGCCGGAGATGGTACAAAAAAGTACCCGAAAGCAGGTACAGGTACAACTTTTACACAGTGGAAAACCAAACAAAGCCGAGACTAGCCGAGCCGAGTCGAGCTGGTACTGTGTAGTGGAAAAGCACCACATGTTGCTGTCTGGGCAGAGTTTACTCCACCTCGATAAGTAGTTCTGCTTCCAACTGAGGATTTAGACAGCTTAAGCGGATTTAGTGAAGTACCCATGGAAGTGTTTTACGAAAAACCTCTCTGAACACATCGGGACGCTTGGCTTCTAGGCTTTCGTTTTAAAGTAGTACAATGTTTCCATTTGATTTATGTGTGAATATGCGGAATATACGAAGGTGTTTTGTGCAGTTCTGGATACTGTAGTCTATTCCAGTGACAGCAGTGTTTCCCTCTGTAATTATGATGGACTGAAAGTTTCAATCTGGGTTTTTGGATCTCCGGTTACGCTCGTTGGCACGTAAACCCCGCGCCTCTCGTTACCTGGTGGCGCCTCCGTATGCCTGGCCTGAGACAGCGAGGAGCAGTTGGATCTCATCCCAGTCGTCCGCAGTCGTCAGCCTTACAAACCTGATACCTTTCCTTCAGGATCCCAGCGTCTCAGTCCCAGAATTCCCAGGGGGCGGGAGAGACAGACACGCCGTATCCCCCCCTTCCTTATCGTGTTCCCGGACCATTGTCTCCCTGAGCGCCTTCTCATGCCTGAGGGACAGCAGTTCTCCTCAAACTCACTTTTCCAGACCGCTCTTTTTCTGCCTTAATTGAGACCTTCTTTAGATACCCTTTGACATGCTGACAAGCCAAACCCAAACAAGGTTAAAGAAACCAGGTTTGACATCTTTTAATTGCGTGTGCCAACAGAAGACTGATTACTGTGGGGGGGATCAGGTGGGCAGGTTGGGTTGTAAACCTGAGAGCTCTGATGTGTGTGTGTGTGTGTGTGTGTGTGTAACAGAGCAAGGATCTCTAGGGGCTCGTGGCAAAGTGTCCCGCTGTGTAAACACACACAAACACACACACCTCACTCTACCTCGTACAGGTGCTTGAGATTCCCTTTAGATCCTGACGGTTTTATAGCTGGAATTTCTAAAGCCAGTAAAATATAATGATTTATCCATAACCTCACACAGGATCAATGTCAAAATGTTTTTTTATTCAAGTATATCAAAATATTTCAATGATATTAACACAATTATATTAACAAGCTTCCTTATTGTTTGCAGATTTGAGCAAACCCCTAATCCTACTAAACTTCCAATACATGTATCAAACTTTGTGTGACTTTTCTAAGCAATCTACTTTCAAAGTGTTTTGAGACGATAAGTTACATTGAAGGAGGGGCCTTAGCCATATCTAGTGGGACTTGATGGTAAGCTGTTTTGACTTGTTAGCGGCCTATGCTGTTTCTCACATTTTACTTGAAACGGGTCTCACAACAGAAGGAGCTTCCGCTTACACTCAAAGAAGAGCCCTGTCAATCATCATCACGGAAATTAATTGGGGCTAGGGGCAATTGCAACCAAAATTGATAAAAAATACCCCCCAAATTCACAATATATGGGTCAAAAGTGCTGCTTTCCCGACAATCAGCACAGTTGCAAATGTGATAGCCTATTGATTTCATAGAACTGATCTACAGGGGTTGGACAATGAAACTGAAACACTGGCCAATGTTGGAGGTTTCACATCTATATGCCTGGCGGCCAATCTTCAGAGTGAAGCACGGGTGGATCAGTGATGGTTTGAGCTCCAATATCATGACAATCCTGATTGTATTTGATGGACACGACACTGCCGAGGACTACCAAACCCTTCTGGAGGATCATGAGCACCTGATGCTCAAACCGTGTATCAGCATGATCATGCACCAACACACACAGCAAGACTTGTGACAGAAGGGTTTGATGAAGATGAAAGTGACGTTGAACATCTCCCATGGTCTGCACAGTCACCAGATCTGAATATTATTGAGGTGTTTTGGAGGAGCGAGTCCACCAGCATCATATAGTGACCTGGACACTGTTCTGGAAGAGGAACGGCTCATAATCCCTCTGGTCATTGTGAAGGACTTCTATCTGTCAATTGGTGCTGTATTTGGATGCAAAATGAGGCCCTCACCATTCTAACAAATTATTGTGTTGTAAAACCAGGTGTTTCAGTTTCATTGTCCAACCCCTGTATAATCAAGGTGTTAATGTTAGGTGACTTTTTGTTAGGTGTTTTTGCCAACAAAAATAGTTCCAAACAAATCCACAGAGCCGTTACGCTTCTCAGAGCAACTAAATGTTTTGTTACTAAATGAATTTTGTTACGTAAATCGTTTTACTAAATGATAGTGGGCCACCAACTGTGTCTTTGAAACAGGCCCCGAATTGCAAAGCCCGCCTCTCCTCCCTAGAACACCCTTGCAACTCCCTAGCAATGGACAAAAAAAAAAAAACACTTAACACTTATTTGCCCCAAATTGCAGTCTGGAGGAGTCAAAGTCATAGCCTGTCTGAGGATTTTTTGAGGATCCACCAATAGCAAAGGTCAATGATCCAATTATCCGTTATTATTTCCAATTTTCGTAAAAGTTCGTGTTTGGGTTCGGGGTCTTTCAATGAGATCTGTGA